TGAAAATCAAATACAAATTTCTAGGGCTCAACAAATCAAGACACAGGAAGACTTCAGTTTCCTAGGCAAGAGTAAATGGTCATGGTAACTTCAGCAAAGGCAGGATGTGATCTTTTGCCCATTTGTTCATCTGTCTGCACCCATACGTTCCTGTATTTCCGTAACACTGGAGGAATTCAGTTACACGAATTCTCTCTCAAACTGAAAGACTGCAGATAGGTTAAGTCTTAAGCTGGTAAAGAGTGTTGTTCTCTACTAGGAAAAGTAATGCCACATGATCACAGCCTTCTCCAAATCCACAATGCCAGCACAAAGAAGCAGCAGGAATCATCCTCAAAGCTCTACCACCCAACTTGTACCAGCCCAGAATGCCTGAGCTCTTCATAGAAGGGTGAGGATATCTCCCCGAAGTTGCTTATGCTAACTTGATACCGGGTATCTGGGCTCCCTAATACAAACCTTGTATGAAGGCAACTAGATATTCAACAGAGAGAAAAAAATAAGTTTCAGTGCAAAGCATCCTCCTCTCTGTCCCTGTAACTGGACTGTAATTTGAGTCCCTTATAGCAATTTCGTAATACAGACTCATTTTGCTCTAAGACATGAAGCCAGCTGGGCAGCTGGGATAATGTCTCTGTCTGGTGTGGCATTTAATATCTAGCCTGGAAGTCCAATGTGTAGGCATTTCTTCGCCCCTCATACTGCAGCTGAATGACTGTGCTGTGTTGATTTGAAATGACCTGACTAATCTCAACTTCCTCTAACAGTTTAATGAAATGTCAGAAGTGAACAAGGTCCATGGAATTGAAAAAAGACCATTCAAACAATGATGAAAAGAAACACATGGACAGCAATTTTTAAACAGTCTTTGGACTATTGGAAATAATTCAGTGAGTTCTAGCCAAGCTGCAACATAAACATACTAAGAAGGGATTGAAAAACGTTTTATATAAAGCTGCATTTTTTATCTAGACTGTGTAATCCACAAAAACGAGATACATGGGAAAAGCCATCAGTAGGTGAGTTCAAAAAAAATAAAAGACCCTCCCTGCTCCCCTCATATCTGTCAGTGTTTGGAAAAACAAACCACAAAACAACAGTTACATAGTTCTGGTTCCACCATCTGAAATTACAGGAGGGAGAGGCAAAAGGATCTGGCAAACTGAGTCCCTCTCCTTTCCAAGGAAAGCTTAATGGCACTCTCAACTGCAGAAATTAAATATGCTGATCGTAGCACAGCCTCACAGAATACCAACTAAGAGGGAAAAACTTACACCATAATCCCTGTGAGGTAAGGTACAATCAGCTACAACAAACTCTTTGGGGCTTTTAGTGTCACTAACATCTTACATCCTATTAGGAAGTAAAATGTCCTAAAAAGCATAAAAATGCTCTCCAGAGGTTACCATATCTCACTTCCCTGTGCTACAGCAGGACATGGCCATCATAGCAGTAATCTGAAAGCACACAGGAATCCCTAGCACACAAGAGAATTCAGACTCTATCTCTAAGATTAGAAGGCCATAAACTCTTCAGGAGTCTCTCCTTCCTGCAGCAGATCCAGCATTCGTTCAGTTACACTCCCACTGCCTCTCAGCATTGCTGTGCCACACTAGGTTTGAGGGGTGTTTGTGAATGAAGGTCACAGAAGAGTTTCCAAACTTTGGGGCTGCAGCACGCTCTTGCGTGTTAACAATTTCCAGTACTCAAAGCTGGGAGACAGCAAGCCTGAGCAATGACAGAAAACTTACCATCTCTGCAACCCTTGCACTCTCAAGGCAATGTTCTATGAAAAATGTGATGTGATCACATAATCAAAAGCTAACTCTTGTGCAGAAACCTAGAAGGCAGGGAATGGAACAATCCAGAAGCTGAAAGGGCATAGTGTAAAGCCAATAAGGCTTTTGGCATTGCAATCAAATGCCATTACCGTGGAATATTTTTCATTATGTGAAGCCTGAACATTTGAAATTTTTTAAGAAAAAAGAAAATGTTACATAACATGCTTTCCCAAAATTCCTGTCTAAATGATGCAACATTTGAATCTTGAATGCTCATTTTTGCTGCAAAAATCATTTGAACTAATGGATTTAATATATTAACTGGCATCTAGGCATGTATTAATACAGATATAAGAGGAAAAATGGACTTGCAGAAGTAGACACAGCTGTGATTGGCAAAACTGAGACAAAAGTGAAAGCTAGTAAGTAAAGGAGAGATTTTGAAGACTGCTAGAAAAGGAAGAATCTGGACCATGACAACACTAAGCAAGCAGAACAGATAACGCTAGGCCATTACAGAGAAGGCCTGTACAAGCTTGGATATATAGAATGTAATTTTTTCTCTCGTCATGGCAGAAGGCAGACTTAAAGCCCTGTCACCTGCCCTTGCCTTTGGAAAATAAAACCATTTAACGTGAGTCTTCCACTGAAGTACTAATCCCTTGGTCAAGGTGTTCAAACCACATGTAATCACCCAACCTCTGCTGCACAGACACGTCCACAACTGCTCCCGGAGCTTTCTGGGAGTTTTCCTGGCTACTGATGGCTTTGGCAGTGCCTAAAGGTCATGCTGGGTTATTCTCTTATACTGCTTGAGATCCGGATTTGAGTTTGATGATATCAGCCATATGCTCACATGTAATGGAGCCTCATGCAATGAAAACTTCAGGCTGTGTCACAGAGTTACCACATCAATACGGAGGGCTGGATTTTCAGAGTGCAGTGAAGGAAGGATGCTGCCAAGCACATAGCCTAGTAATGCTGTGAAGAAAGCTTCAGCCTGGTACTTGCCAGAGCTGAAAGAAAACCTTTCACTTCTCAGCAAATTCAAAGAAAAAGATAGAATTGAGTATTTCCATCAAAATTTATTCTTCTTCTACGGAAAGATGGCAAACAACATTTCACAATGCACCACTGAGTTAATACACTACTTTTTTTCTGCTCTGTTAAATCACACGATGATTTCCTGGAATAGAAAATATAAGGAACTGGAATTAGCTGGCCATCACTTCAGGTCACATAGGCAAGCAGGATGAAGTCTGCTACTTTCTGTGCCTGCATGAAGAGAGACTGCAATCTATATCTGCTTCTTCTTCTCAGGCAACTGAACTTGCCTTTAAATTTTAAAAAATTACTTTTCAACTTACGACCTTGGTTACTACCAAAGGAAAAAAAAAATCAAAACATTGTTCTGCTTACTCCCAAATTGATTCTGATGCTTGTGAATATTCTGACTGCATGTAATAAAATGAAAAATATATATACTTTTCATAATAAAATGCGTTTTAGGTTGTGGAGTCTCCTTCTCTGGAGATGTTCAAGACCTGCCTGGATGCCTACCTGTGCGACCTGCTGTAGGGAACCTGCTTTGGCAGGGGGGTTGGACTCGATGATCTCTGGAGGTCCCTTCCAACCCCCACGATTCTGTGATTCATTTCACTTGAGATAGCCTAATAAAATTATTTCCTATCACTTCAATTCTTATCAACTTAAAATTTAAGGTGTTAAAGTGCATCAAGAACCTCTGTGCAATCCAGATCTAAAGCAGGCTTTCAGGAAGATACAGATAATTTCCCTCTAAATTTTAATCAAATTAGATGATTGTATTTTGCTCACTTGAAAAAAAGAGACAAACAGAAGATACAATTAAGACACATCAACATGAACTCTATCTTACTTGGGAATTTCTGCTGACCTACTACATCACAATGGAAATCAATTTTAATGACATCAAGGAACATTTACTACTAGCCTAAACAGCAAAGATTTAACTCATGGAGTTCTGAATCTCAAATCTGAATAAAACATGGAAGAATATAACCAGTTGGAATAGCTGCAGTCATCCAGGTTTGTACTGAGATGAAGCACTGTATCTAAAATATATAAGTAGCTGAGCTTCATGTGAATCAGGCCAACAATGCTTGAGATTTTACTTTTTTTTTTTTCACTCTCATTTTGGTGTTCAAGTTCTCTTCTATCCCAAGTAAATTTGGAGGTTTAGCATCATTAATGTTGAGGAACTGTAAATGTGCAAAATTAGTCAGAAGGGCAGTTTATTGGGTAGGAAAAAAAAAAGAAGGTTTAATTTGTGAAATAGACTAGTGAGAACACTGAAGAAACACACCACCAAGTAACATACAGTGATGACTGCACAGACATTCAAGTAAGAAGCTTAACTGCAATTTTACGGAAGAGGTCAGACCCAGTTCCTGCGGAGCAAATGTGTAGGCCAGCACTAATGGTGTCAGCAGCATCAGACGTACTCACTGTGAGGCAGTGAAAAGGGTGGACTGATAGGCCATAGGCAATAGGGAAACCATGCACTGGACAAGAAGAGTACACAAGGAAGATAACGAGGATGGTGTAAATATTTTCCATACAGAACAGATGGTGGGTGTACTCTTCAATTTTGATTTAAAGGCATAAAAAGTTCCAACAAAAAAAAAACAAGAGAATCTGAAATAATTATGTGTATTTCATACAAGGCAGAGGTCACTTATGGAAGACAGTGTCTTTTGCAAAGTTTAAAAAGTCCATGATAGACAAATGGAACTGCATCATCACTACAAAAACTCACACAAAAAAAATTCACAGAATTATTCCTTAGAGAAATATGGCAGATTATCTAGGTAATGCTGTAAACACATATTTTAGGTTAGGGCTCAGATCCTCAGGCAAAGGAAGTTGTATACATACACATGCACACTCTCTCAGTTGGTAAACAAGAAGTTAAAAACAAAATCAATAGTAACAAGAACAACTAAACACCACCACCTTTCCCATATTCTTCCAGTTTCTTTTAAGAACCAGCTAAAACAGAAATTATTTCCTTTAATGCACAATGTGAAAGTATGCTAGCTTTGCCTGTAATGTCTCTGCTCAGGTCTGAAACATCAAGCCTGTAAAGCATCTTGCACCCACAGAACTACATAATAACTCCTGACAAGACAACTTCACTTAAAAGTTAAAAGAGTTGAAGTGAGGTCAAGCCTGGAATTCTGATTTTAATTGAGTCTTGTTTTATTTTTTTTTCAACCCCCTGATGTTTTTCATTTTAAGATCACAAATAGCTTGTGTACATATTGGTTCTGAATAAAACACTGGGATAAGAGTTTATTGTTTCTTGTAGTTGGAATTTTTTACAGGAAGAATGTTGCCAAAACAATTTAATAGCATATTCAAAATTAAGAGCGCATTTTGACCCAAATGACAATAAATTAACTTTAAAAAAGTAAAAAAGTAAAAGAAAAAAAGGGAAGAAAATGATTTCTTCATTTTCCAAACAAAACAGTAAAACAATTGCAACAAAAGAACATTTCAAACAGCTAGTGAACAATACCACAGAAACACGTTCAGATTAAAGGTAAGGACAGTTCTTTCAAAAGAAAGAGGAGTCCTACAGCTTAAGGCTGCAAGCTGAGTGTTTTGAGAAGTTAGCTCTAAAAAATTAAAATATCTGACCATCATTAACCCTTGATGTATATTCAACAGCAACTGAACCACTCCAATCATATTTGAAGTATTTCACTAATCTCAAAATTGTGTTTTTAGTGGAACAAAGCAGGTTTTCTTTCAAGTGCCTGTAAGATGTGTTTTGAATTTATTTCAAAGGTGCAGCTTTTCTCAAGATGATTGCATTATCAAGTGTGATAATGTTGCTCAAGGCTGTGGCCAAATGTCACAGTATCACTCGTGACAGCCACAGGGAGAAAGGGATTTTCAGAATAGAAATTGTGCAATCAGATTAGCCAGTCCAAGGAGGATTATAAAGATGTGAATGATCAACGCTGGCCACGTCAGCTGCCCAGCACGATGCATGGAGATCACGTAGATGAGTGATGGATACACAAAGACAAAGGCCAGACCACACGTTGCTCCAGAGTATCTGAAGAAAGGGAGAAGGGGAAAAGAGCAAAGAAAAAAAAAAGGGGTGGGGGAGGGAAGAGAACAAAATGCTTTATGTTAACTCTTACTTTTTCTTGTCTTTTTTTTTTTTCACTCAAACTAGTGAACAGTCTGACCAAACAATGGCTACTTGCAGTCACTAAACACTGATTTATGTTCATTGTTGTCCTGCACTGGCATTTCATGATGTCTCTCTCAGTCCCCTGACTCTCCCTACCTCCTCTCTGACATACCGCTGATGTTTCCTCACATTACCACATGATTCTGGGCATGAACTGGACTCATTATGGATGTTTTTACTTTCTTCAGGGAAATAGAAATAAAATACCAACAGTGCTTACTTTAAGTATCTCTTACTTACAGAACTGCAAATCTTATTGATTCCCAGCCATCTGAGAACATGTTAAAGCACATAACAATAGAACTGCTCTTGAAATTGCAACTTTTATTTTAAATGAGATTCAAAAAGGCTGTTCTCCAGACCCAAAAAGATCAAAATGCCCTTCTTGAAGCACAATCAAACACAGCAACTGAAACATCTAACTTTTTCTAAGCATTCTCTTGCATATCAAACCTTTTCATTATTTTCCCCTGCTGTGAATTTCCATCTATTAAGCTATAGTGCAGCCAAACGTAAATTATTAACTAGCAACATATTTTATTTCAAAGATTTGATCACGCCCTTTAGACAGTGGAAATACTGCTACATAAAATAAGCCTGCATAACAAAACTTGTAAATATACATTAGATTGTACATAGAAAATTTATCAGTTGGAAATGCACTATTCCAAATGCTTAAGTGCCATGCACAGTGAATGCGTCAGCAGAAGTCAAGACCAGTTTGCAAATAGAGACGTGTATTACATGATATTTATTTTCAGTTAATAAGTAAACTGTCTCTATCACTGGAATCAGAATGTTTTCACTAAAATGAGAAATAATAACAAAAGAAAAGGAAATGGAAAAAAGGACACCTCAAAGATCAGCTATTGAGCAAAAGTAAGCCATTCTGCTAATACTAACCACCCTAAGCCTCTCATTCTAGTTTTATAATTGCAAATTTCTATATTTTTAAACATCTCCCTCTCCTGGTGCCATAGGAATAATACAAACTAGGATTGAATGAAAGTGATTATGTATATGGAATCATAAAATGGTCTGGGTTGGAAAGGACCTTAAATCCACCCAGTCCCAACTCCTGCCATGGGCAGGGCTGCTCCCACCAGCTCAGGCTGCCCAGTCCCCATCCAACCTGGCCTTAAGCACCTCTAAGGATGGGGCACCCACAGCTTCTCTGGGTAGCTGTGGCAGCATCTCATCACAGCATGAGGAAAGAATTTACTAGCCTACATTTCTCCTCTTCTATTTTAAAGCTGTTCTCCCTTGTCCTGTCACTATCAGACCATGTAGAAGTTGTTCTCCTTCCTGTTTATCAGCCTTTAAGTAGCAGAAGGTATCAATGAGGCCTCCCTGCAGCATTCTCCACTCCAGAATGAACAAGCCCAGCTTTCAGCCTTTTTTCATAGGAGAATTACAGAAATCCCATTTGTTTAACACAGTAGATCTAAGATGCAATTTAGAAGTACAATTTTTAGGTTACTTTTCCCTTTTAAGTTACCTGCACTATTGCATTTTTATCATAGACTTTCAAATTAGCTTCAAACAGTCTTAACATAAAAATGAGAGAAATCAGACAATAAGCAAGGAACTTTTATGCTGACATAATATTCTTTGATGTGGACAGTTACACGATGACCAGGTATAGCTATAGTGAATCTTGGGGAATCATCTCAGTCACCACAGATGCAAAAGTACTATTATGGATAGTTGCTTGTCAGAACTTTTAAAGAGCAGAAGCAGATTGCTTATACTTCTAAATTTGCTCTGCACAACTTACAGAAGTCTAGGTGAACAAAATATAAAGTTACAATTCCTTACCCTCTTATTGTTCTTTTACAAAATTGAGACATAAACACATTAACACCGTAGGTAAGTTTAATGTGCAAAGCAATGCTTACCTTATGATACCTCCAATATTTGGATAAAATCTTGCCATTGCTACTCCAGCTCCTACAATTGCTACGTTCAGAGCAAGCACATGGAAAACACTACAGAAAAGTGAGAAAAAAGGTATTAAAATCTACACTGTATTTATTACAAAACACCATCACTTTTAATTTAAACTAATATTTAATTGGTACATGGATAGTATTTCAATTCAAGCATGACTCATGCTATTAAAGCTGATTCATTTCACAGGAAATACAATATTTATTGAAAATTCTGAACACCAAACTATAAATATCTAGTGTTTTGACTTCAAATATTCTTAAGGAGTAAGTATGTATAATCTGGCAATCCTTCTGAAAGCATCAGACATGGTACTCAGCTTTCAAGTATTTCAGATAGATATTCAAATACTGAAGAAATCCACAAGAAAGAATTAGCTAGCTCAGAGAATGATCTGGACTGCTATGTGTGTGTGAGCTACGGAAACCAAGAGAGATACATCACTGAAAGAAAAACATTACACAAAATGCTACGGAAAAAAAACAAGCAAACAAGCTTAGTACTTGACCTCTAATATATTTTGACGCAAAACAAACGTTTGAGATGTTGGACCTAATTTAATATCGGGCATGCATACTGCTTATACTAGATTTTTTAAAATTGATTTTGGTTCTACAAATAATTTCCTGTTGCTTTCCTTTTTGCAATAAGGATGAAAAAACTGGAGGCTTCCTGTTCTCCACAAGCAGCTTTTAATGCCTGAGACTAACTTAGTTCAGGCATTATGCACACAGCTAACACTTGGGAGAATATCACTTTTCTTCAGAGAATATAAAATGTTGGCATATTTCAGTAAAGTCAGGAAATGTAAGAAAAAACACTGGGATATTTTGGTCACACAGCTGTTTCTATGAAGGGAAAGAAGAATTTGCACACAGGAACCATAGATTCAGTTTTCATTGGTTCAGAATGCTTTGATTTCTTAAAATAATCAAAACCCATAAGCTGATGCTGATTGTTTTAAACGTAGAATGTATCTGTGCTACATAGAAAGTCACTAATGAACAATCTTTTCAAGTGGGCTACAGCTGAAACAGTAAAAGTCACCACTCTCATGGCTGAAAGGCTGGCTGCTGGCTTCCAGGTTTGGAAGAAAGGTTGAAGCAGTAGAGGGGACTCATTTGAGTGTAGGGGAACCGTGGCAATTCACGCACAAAGACATAATTGAAGATACACACTATATCTAAGATTTGCCCATCAAAAATGATCTAAAACTAGACAGAAATAACATCCTTCACTCTGGGCTTGGCACTCTTAACAGTGGTGCATGAGAGGTACACTGCAGAGACTGAAGACAGCAGTGGGAACACAGCAGCTGAGAGAAACATCGTCCCATATAAAGCTGGTAAAACCCCAAGGATCACTCCCCAAGAACCAGATGATGAATAAAAGATGGGCCAAACATCTACTGTTTCTCTAATACTCTCTTAAAAAAACCTAATCAATGGCACAGTTCATGAAACTTTTTGTTAACATTTTCTCTCACATGGCAGTTTGCAAATCTCACCATGAGATAACACAAACGAAGACAAAATTTATAAACACAGAAAATGGTGGCAATTCTTTCCTTCCTTTTTTGCTGAGACAAACTTTCAGCAGGTAAGATTAAACAGAGTGCAGGCCACACAACTAGGACATGTTTTCCAAATTTAGGTTGGTACAGAATATTTTTGCAGAAAAACTGAAAAAAGTTGGGAATATTTCATTTTGACATGCTTTACAACAGAAACGATTTTGTAGTTCAGAGTTGTTGCTTTTTTAAAAATTAATTCAAGCTTTTTACAACTTCAAAGGCAAAGTTACGTGCGTGCAGATGTGTGTGCGAGCATGTGTGCTGTGAAATGAAGTATGATTCCAGTTCTTCATCTGGGAAAAAACATCAGGACAAACAAGGATGTGTTTTTACTCAAGTGAAAGCAATTGTCTGAAAATGCTCCAAAGCAAGGCAGTGCTTGCAGAGAACTGGTTTCCAGTTTCTGTTGTCACAATTAAGCAGCAATCTCAAGACAAGTAACAAAAAGCCTGAAAAGGATTTTAATCCATTCACTTCAAAGAAAAAGGTGACACTATTTCTCCTTGGAACATTTCTGCACCTCCTTCTACCATTTCAATAACAGCTCAAATTAGACTGTGCTTCCAGTTCACCAATAAAACGGACTGTGTATTTAAACTGCAACAAAATAGCTCCTCCACACCTGTGCGTTCGGGTTCTTCTAACTGTTCAGATGCTCACAGGTTATCTCACCTTTCAGAAAGGAGGAACTAATATTCCTAAATCCTGAGAAAAACACTGACATTTTGAAAACAATCCTTCTGAACAAAGATCTGACATCTACAGCTACCAGCAACTGCGTTATTTCAGACAGTGCATTTTTATAAATAAGATTCCAAGTTTTATGCAGGTGCATACCTGCCAGGACAAGCACTCCGCCATAGGAGTGGCGGAGGCATAGGCATTATGTTTTCACGATGCAGCTTGGTTCACCAGTAGCTTGCTGTACACTTAATGGTCACCACATGTTGCACAAGGTGGTCAGAAAAGAAGTAATTTTTGGCAGCATAACCACATCACTTCTGGCTTTTTTAGATCCATAGGGAAAAAAGCATTCAGTAGACACGCTGCATCCAGTCTTCTCCTGGAGAAGTGGTGGTTGCAGTTAACCTTGTGAATAATGGCCATATTATTTCGCTAACTTCAGCATCCTTAAACTAAGAATCACACACCAACAAGAGTGAAGACAAACCCCGGGGCAGGGAATAAACTAAAGAAGAAACTGGTTAAAAGCCCTGACAGGTCAGAAGCAAAGAAATTAGAAGTGCTGCAATCAGTGTGGAATCACAACATGAACACACACATTTGAATAGTAAGGAAATCAAAACAACATAAGTAAAGATTTTTGAAAAGTCACTGAATCTAAAACTGAATTTTCTTCCCAAAGTCTCGCCCAAGTGACACCAGTCAAAAGACTCTGAATCACTGCACTTCAGATGCAAAGCAGAAACGTACATGCAAACAGCAGAAATGTACTTCACTGCATCAGAAGACACAGCTGTAGGAGAACTGGCAGGTCTGCTGGGCTGCCATGGAGTAAGGGGAGGACATCTTTTAGGAAAGCCAAGGGATTTCTGTCCATCGGTTTATTTAACCTCCCAGAGCAAGGAAGATTTTAAGAAGAAATTCTAAAAAACGATGACTGTACAAAGTATTTTATGCACGGCATATAATTAATTAAGGGAATTCTCTGTCACAACTATCACTGTAGCTACAAGCCAACAGTAACACTAGAAAAAATTACTTTTCTATACATGCAAGAAGATCCAGAATCACACCAGAGGCAGCAGATAAACCACATGCCTCTGGCCATAAGTCACTCATTAAACGATGCCATTGCAAATATGTCCTGCTTTAGAAAAGAAAGTAATTTCCCAAAACACAGCATTTTGGCCTTCTTTTACAACACATGAGAGAGAAGAAAGATCTTCTTGGATTTTGTTCCCGTATGTCCATTTATGTGTTGTGGTCTTTACACTAATGTACTCTTTGCTCAATAGAAGATGAAACTAGGATGCGTTCCGTTATCATTAAGTCTTTTGTGGGAAGCACAGGAAGGCTCCAGGCTTTGTGATGGTGCCTGTCATAAGACCACTGTGTCCTTCATGTCTACATATGTGTTTAAGACAGACAGTGGCACAGGTGTCTGAAACTGGTAGACAAGGAGAATGTGCTAATTTAGAGTCAATATGTATTTCAGCTCTCCAAAGATAAGGATGATTCTTTTTTAAAAGGCAGAATTTAGACCCAGTTGGGCTCTCAGAAAACAGTACCACAGGCTTACTGTTGGAGGACACCTAACTGTGCGACCTACTATAGGGAATCTGCTTTAGCAGATGAGCTTGTCTCAATGATCTCTTGAGGTCCCTTCTGACTAAAAAATGTTTTTTTTGAAACAGCATAATTATAGACAATGTAAATTTATTACGTTCTGTCAGCTGCAAAGGAAATTTAATATAGGAAGGATGTAACTATGGAAATACATCTAATTAGGCATATTGAATCACAGCGAAGGTAAGAAGAGGCTAGGTGGCCAACACAGATCTTCAAATGCACCACCAATATGAATTTGGCACACTGATAGATGTGTTCTATATGCATGTGGATGGATATACGATCAAGGAACAAACCTAAACTCTAGTTACACAGCCTGAAAATAAATCAGAAAAGGTAGGAAAAAATCGTAAACAAACAGAATCAGACTCAAAACCCCAAGATTTTTGTGGTTTTAATTTGTAATTAATTAAATTAATTAATTTGTAATCCCTCTAGACAAATGGTGCAGAACCCCACCTGCTTTTTCTTTTGCCTCATCCTTCTTATTCCTTAGTTACAAATAAATTTTCACAGTCAAGTGAATATTCCCCTCCCTACACACACCCTAGATACACACCTAAGAGTTAAAGTCTGTATTTCAGAAGACCGATTAGTCTTCCTTTTTTGCCTGGAAACTGTTAGCCATTGACATTTAAAATTTTGGTAAGAGCCAAGTACATATAATTTATCATTTTCCTATGGAGAAGCATACAACTTAGTATTTCCAGCTGAATTCTTCAGGGTGGATCAACAGGATTTACAGTGAGACATCAGGTTAACATCAGTAAGAGCTACCATCTCTATCTTTTCAAAATGTGTCTCCATAAATCATCTTTCCCATACTGCTTTTAAAACACAGTTCTCTCAGCATAACAGAACAGTAAGGAGATCACAGGAGTATGAAAATATCTACCAAGTCCTTCTGGAAGCAGTAACATGGAATTCTAGCTAAAACAGAAAAATTTCTTCTCCAAAAGAGTGGAGAGGCACTGAAATAGGCTGTCCAGGGAAGTGGTGGAGTCACCATCCCTGGAGGTGTTCAAGGAGCATTTAGATGTTGTACTGAGGGGTATAGCTTAGTGGGGAAATATTAGTATTAGGTGGATGGCTGGACAGGATGATTTTGGAAGTTTTTTTTTCAACCTTGGTGATTCTATGATTGAAGGCCCAAACAGCTGTGTAATTAACACATTTTTCGTTGATAAAATGATGATAGGAAGAGCATTGTATTCACAGGCTCTCACAACATCAGGACCACAGTTCTAATTTTTCCAGAGTAGTTGGTGGTCAAAAAACCCAGAAAACTGAAATTCTTCCCTAGAAAGGCAATAAGAGAACAGTGGTACTAAAAGATCAGCTTAGGTTGCTGGTGAAAATCAGTCCTCACGAGGTATTTCACAAGCAGACCATGGGTCTTCTACTATAATCCTAGAAAGAGGTCTCATGCTCACTACCATTCTTCAGTTAGTCTCCACTGCACAGGAAAACAAAGCTATAAACATACAGAAGCTGGAGCCTAGATATCAATTGAGAGACATTCGAGCAACATGTGAGATACCTGGGGTACCAAAGAGAAACACATATAGTCAGAATATACGTACAGAATTGCCCCCACAGGTGAGCAAGAGAACAAGTGGCTTTCTAGAAACGATTTCTGACTTCTCAGAAATGATAAATACCTCCCCCTGTAAGGACTTCAAAAAAAAAAAAGAGAGAGACTGAAGCTACCCACAGGACATCCCAGAGACAAGTACAAAGAATGTGCAGTATCCCATTCGTCATACCACAAAAGCTTAAAATCAGCAAGCTTGAGCTAACATGAGCAGACACTTTAAGGAGTGGCCAGAAGGGAAATGAGAACCATTCAGGGAGTGACCTGGGAGAAGAGATGGGAAGAGGCAGATTTACGTAATACTAAGAACACGGTTATTTCCCAAGGCTGTGAAATCCATGTTTAGCACTTAAATCAATGGCCTTGTTTCCAATAGTAGCTTGCAGAGTTCCTAAAAATCTCCTTTACTTTGAACTGAGTACAATTTAGCAACAAAAAAAACAGGCATTTATTTCATGTCCTAATTTAGACATCCAGTTTCTAGACCTTTCCATAACTATTTTAGGACCCAGAAGAAACCTGAAACTTTTAACAATGTCTTCCCAGACCTGTATGCTACTGCTGATGCCACAGAGGAAATACACATGGCTTCCTGTGATATTTTTTCCTTCCCTCCATCAACAGTAATTCACAGCATAAAATAACAACTCAGAGATAAATACCGACTTCTCAGCTGTGACAAATTCAGATGATATTCCAAATATAAATGTCCTAGGTTTTATTTAAAACAACAGCAACAACAAAATAACAACAAACAAAACCGAAATTGAGTTGTGGGTCAGCTCTTCCCTGGTGTTCAGGCAAGGTACAAATGCAAGCGTGTGGCTCATCTCTGAAATTAGCATCTGAAAAGCTATTTTTATAAGCATAACAGCAGTCAAGATAACATCAGTAACAACTCAGTTAGCTATCAGCTCTGTTTAAAAACAGATGGATGGTTACTAGCTTTGCACACTCAACCCTGAAAGGTTAATAAGCAGAGTACATGCCTTCAAAACTTAAAGACGATTTGGCAAAATTTTTCTGAACTGAAAACCTTTTTTTTCTGCACAACTACTTTTTTTGCTGTGCAAATTCAAGACAAAAGAACTGTGTTAAAAATGACAAAATGAAGAGCTAAAACAAAAGACACGGCTCCCTCCCATTCTGCTCTGCCAAGCCATAGCAGTCCTGGTCTGCAGGCTAGAATTTCCTCTGCATGCCTATTCAACCTTTGCCTCTGCAAACATTTTGAATTAGCTTTTGAAATGTACTAATGCACCAAAGGAAACTCTGGAAGCCCAGCCAACTTTCTGACTATACACAAGAGGCTAGTTAAGCACAGTGTGCCAAGCTCTTGTCAAAGGACAGTCTTCTTACCTTGGGTAAGCGTTTCCAAAAACCTGTCTTAATAGCTGGACCCGTGCCAGATAGCCCAACAGTGGGTATACTGTAATCATCTGGAACAGCAGAAATATTCTTGCAATAAAAGACATGATGTCGTTGCTGGGAAAGTTATCTAGAAAATTCTAAACAGAGGGATAACATTACATTTACCAGTGATGTCTCAATTACATTTATGTGCTGACTTTTAATACCTGTGTTCAAGAAAGAAGATGCTAAAAGCCAAGCAAATCTAAATGCTAGATCAAACCCGTAACACGAAATACTTTTTCTCCCCTTTGAAATTGTTATGTAACCAAATACCTCCTATTTTTTTAATAGTAAAGAGATGACATCAGTTTCAATGTTAAAAAATATTTTCTACTCTCAGTATTCAAGAAGAGCCAAGCCTATGGAGCAGCTACCCTGACTTCTCAGACAAATAAATTCATGTGCCCTTATTACCTGTCATATCATATCTAAGGAGTGAAAAAAAGTATTTATTCAGTAAAACTGGATCATTATCAAAAACAAAAACATTGCAAACACCCGAAAACCAGAATATATAAGACTTAGATTACATGGAAATACATAAGGGTCTTTAGGGTGTGTCTACAGAAAATAAACTATAATAAAAACTGTTGTCATCTATTAACTATGGATTTTATCCCATTAAGTTACTACAGATGATTTTAAAAGTATCATTTCCTGATTAAGCAGTAGTGCCAATTCTAACTAACCTACAGTCAGAGGAAGCCTTTAAAACCTGCTTCATCGCTACCTACTATACAGGCAATGTGGATCACTTTGCATAAAATACATCACCAGCTTACAATTCCTATCTTTGAACTAGTCAAGGGTGTGAGAATCAGCCTTGCCTATAGGCAGAGAAGAGTTTAATAGCCTTTACAGCAGTGCTATGTGTTATCTGAAAGACTCTGTTGGCAAGGCCTAGCACAGTGCTATACTGCAAATCTATCCATAGCAAGGACTGGCGTGAATGCACTTGCATTTCCTTTCATGTTTTGGGGTGGTTGTTATCTTTTTTTTTAGAGTACTTGAAACCAGCCCAAGTGAGCAGGATTTGTCACTGAACGCACAATTAAATGCAAACATGCTACTTTTCAGAAATAAATAAACTAAAAATTCCAGTGTGCATTGCTCCTTTTGGTCTTCACTTTCACAGAAGATTTATTTAATGTTTGTTTTTAGACAACTATTGGCAACCAGACATGAATGCTAATGAGATAACAAAAGCGTTACTCATCTGCTTGTGGTAGTGCCCATGAAGCATCAGCCAACTAACCAGAGTGAAGAACAGATGTGTCTGCCAGGATGAATCACGAAGCAAGCAGCAGAAGCAGTTTCTTTTAATAACTTGATTAAAGGTCAAAGATGACTACGTAGTGCAGTAAAACATCTTACCTGTTCAATACATTCTTTGGATAGTGGTGGAGAAGGAAAAGATGCAAAAATTATTACTCCAACATACAGATATGTTAATCCCACCAGGAAGTAAGCAATGGAGAGGTCTCTCACCTAAGGAAAAATAAAACCTTATTTTGGCCAGCACTGACAGACCAAAGCAGACAAAAGAAAAAGCTCAGTAGAAGATTTCTATTGTATTTGCTATTGTTGCTTTTATATTTTATATTTTATTATTATTTTACATTTTTTACTATTTTTACTATCACTTACTATTACTTGAATGGAGACTTCAAATTAGATCCTGGATCAGACCAGAAAGTGCAAGATAATTCAAACTGGGGACAAGTATTACATATTTATCTAGATATGCAAGGTATACAAGAAAAAGATATCCCAATAAAAGCAGTATGCTTTTGCTGGGTATACAAACCATGAGTTGTCAAAACAAACAAACTGAAAGAAAGCTCTCCTTTCTTACATACACCTGTTGCTATCAGAGCCTTGGGCGCAGAGATGGTTGTCAAAGACAAAACCCATAAATGCCTTAATTGGGATTAAAATTCTACGATTAAAGATATTGGCATACCCAGCTGCAGATATAATGGAGGATAACACACTCCAAAACAGAAACCAATGCATCAGATATCCGTATGAATATCGTGATAATGGAAAAAACAGCTGATTTGCAATTAATTAAATTAATTAATTAAAAATACAAGTACAATCACAATAAAGCAAAAGCACTTGTATGCACAGAGGTATACGTTCTTTAGTTTTTTATTATATGATATAATGCCTATTTTCTTTAAATTTGCATATCTGCTTTACTACTGAATTTCTATAAATGCTCCAGATAAGTGCACTAAATAATAGTCGAAGAATTTCAGAAGACAGTGCTAAAGCTAAGGAGATAAATCCACTTTGACAGTATTTCTGGTTTACCTAATCAGACACATAGCATGTAAAGTCTGTTAGCAATATTTAGTACTGGAACACAAGCAGCAAATCTTCTCAAGAACTTTATGAAATTGCAGAATTCACAGACACAGTACAGTGACTTAATAGCAGTGTACCTAGAGTTCTGTCTTCATCAACATCAACAAATTTTTTTTTTTTAGAAATAAAGACATCTTTATTTTTTTACTAATTAATGAATTATATTCTGTATAACCATATTCTATGCTACGAGACTGTCATACCTTATAGCAAACCATTTGTTCAGCTGCTGCTAATAATCAGCTTCTTAGAGGATTATCACTAATGGCTCAATATATGGCCTATTTTCCTATGGCCCTATTTTCCTATGACTGAGAAGCAAATCTTATTAACTCAGGTACAGCACCAAATTATTAGAGCCATATGGCTTGCAGACCAGGATTCTACAGCACCCAGCCAGTTCACAGAGCATAGGAAAACGCTTCTCCAAGAGTTTCTTCACACTACTTCCTTAACAAAAGAAGTGCATCTTACACCTTTGTGGCATCTTCTGAAGGCAGGCAGTGTCCAGTAAAAATACGCACATGGTGGATTACAAGTTTCAAGAAAAGTTCAGAAGAAAACCAGCTCTCATGCTCATTTTGCCAGATCAACGCTCTTTTTTATCATCAGTTCAGAAGAAGCCAATAATCCTTCTTATCAGGCAACACAGTGCTGGTAATGCAAAACCAAATGCAAACGGTATGCATAACAGTCCTTGCCCTCTCAACAGCTGCAACCTCTTTCTGTTCCTGCTCAGACATACACAGCTGGAAGACATTTCTGTAGCCTCTACTGTCCTCATGCTTGTTGCTGAGAAAGGACTACAAGCTTCAGCAGAGGTTGAGAAATACAATTGTATTTAAATTATTCCAAGAATTTCTCTTCATGCTGATGGAGGAAAGCGTACAGGCTTTCAGATCCCAACTACATCTTCAACAGCACCAGTGCTGATCATAAGAAGCCATTTTTTAAATACTAAATATAATCATCTTAATTTCTTACAACTATTTATGAGTAACTTTCATTAACTGCAGGAATCAGACACGTTCGGAGTCAGGTGGTTTTGCAGACAGATATGGACTCTCACTTCTTGAAGATAGTACTTGGACAATTTTTCAAAATATACCGTGGCACATTATCTGACAGAATTGGTTTAAAATTGCTTCAAATTTGCTATTTTAAATGCATTCCCCATGCACAAAGATAGCACAGTAACTATCAGTTGCTATTTGTATTTGGCTTATATACAAGCTCTGTGAACAAATGTCAAATTATTTTTGCTGTACAAGTACTTGCAGTTGTAGGGGCATGTGATCTACAAACAAACACATGCAAATTCATTCCTTTGGACTACATTTGATTAAGTGTCACTAGCAGGTGTGCTATTACCTGTGATTATATTAACTAGACCATGCTCCTAGAGTTTCTAAAGAGCGCTTGCCTAAACTAAAACTAAATGCTGTGATAATTTTTATAATTTTAAAAATTATAAAAGTTCATGCCACAATACAGCCTTGACTCCAGTTGCTATCACAACACAAACAGTATTCAGATTTTGAGATTTTGATTTCTGTTAGCAAAAAGAAGTAATAGTGGCAATCAAAAACCAAATTTTATCTTTCCTCGTATACATCAACTGCATTGCAAATATCTGCTTCTCACTAAGAAAAAGGGCTATCTTTGTGCAAACGTGTGCGTATGTGACAGGAACACCTTTTGATAGGATACCTCAGTTCACTCTCTAAAGACCTTGATTATAAATACTGTTTAGACAGCATAATTACAGATAAAACTAAAGGACACATGGGTACAGATAAAAGGATTACTTTTAAATAACAGAGCAATAATCGCATTTGTCTATTTTAAATTTAATATAAAGATCGTGATAGCCCTTTTCCCACTCAGGTGGAAGCTGCCTAAACAGAAATACAGTGGTCCTTGCATCCAGAGTTTACAATCTAAAAATGAAATGTAAAACATATGGTTGAAAGAAAGAAGTATATGGGGGATTAGAAAGGAAGGGAAGTATCACAGATAACAGGCGGGTCACAGTCCATAAGGACTGACACCTTGCCACCTGCCAAGCCCTTCCTGAGTACACCTTTAATAACAAGCAGCTGCAGAAGTGGAAATTGGGCAATACTTCAGCTACTGCTATTGCTGACCAGTAGTTTTTCTGGTCAAGATATTCAGAATGATGCGTTAAAAATGTCTCTGCACTTACAGAAAAATGGACTAAGACTAGCAGCGTTCACAGAAGAGACACAGAAATTGGCTTCCTAAAAGTAGGATAAGTTTGACAGACCAGATGAAGCTAACTTAGGGAGAGCTCTCATAGTACAAGACATTATGTTACAAGCCATGGATGAAGACCTAGGCACAGGCTGGGTGCAGTGCAGTGAAGGCTCTATGGCTCCCCAGATATTTCCTCTGGGAAAATGAAAAGAGCCAGCAACTTTCAGGCCTTTTTTTCCCTGTAACGGGACTTGGGGAAAACAACTTATTTTTGTTCAGTATTTTACTGAAAGCTAGTTTGCAATTAGTCAATTTTTAGATAGAGAATTCTGTATCACTGTGTACTAATGATTACTACATTAGAAAAAGTAGCTTTTGACTGATGCATTTCAGATTGGTAACTTCTCAAAAGGCAGATGCTACTTCTGTAATATCTTAACTAGACTCTGATCTATAGCTTAAAAACAGACTTTAAATGTTCAAATGATAACATATAAGAGGATGACAAAAGTAATTCACTAAAATCCATAGTCTGTGCATAATCACACAGAATCACAGAATGGCCAGGGTTAGAAAGGACCTCAAGGATCATGAATCTCCAAGCCCCTGCTGCAGGCAGGGCCACCAACCTCCCCATTTAATACTAGACCAGGCTGCCCAGGGCCCCATCCAATCTGTCCTTGAACACCTCCAGGGATGGGGCATCCACAACCTCTCTGGGCAGCCTGTTCCAGCACCTCACCACTCTCTTGGCTGGAAAGAGAAACTGATGATAGAGTATTATCAATGGAAGCTCACTCTGTTCTTGGGGAATAAACAGTTCTCCAGTAAGGCAGAAAACACACACAACCCTCAGCTCTGTGCCTTCTAGAGACCCCATCTGAATAAAAAATACTCTCCTGTTCCCAGTCTTTCCCTAGGAATGCCCACAAACAATTGTTAGGAGATAGCCCTTGCACACAGAGCATGTCTCTTAAGCATAGCTGTAGCTCTTGTGCTGGGCTTGTACAAACATCCAGTTTGCTGAGAAAGTTGCTTAAGGAACCAGATCACAGAAGTGTAACAGATTCAAAACCAAAGAAACCCAACAAATAATCTTTCTCGAGTTTGTTAATTTTATGTGCAGTTTCCAAACCAGTTCACTGTGTAGTTGCACAAATATACTGATTGACACAAGAAGGAAAAACTGGAAGACAGGAGCAGGGGATATTTATCTCCAGGCTGTGCTGCTGACACTTGACTTACTTCAGTTCACTGCCCCTTTCACACCCACAGCACTGTATGGGAACAGCAGCTGGAGGAATCATCCTCCCATGTGTGTTTTAAACTTTTGGACAGTGATATATGCCTCTGACTAGAATGGAAGCTGCTATTGTTTTGGATTTCTGACTCCATAAAAGGCACTCTATTGTTTTTCTTACTCTTTTTCCAACCCTCCTAAGTAGTTCTTATTACTGCTAGTTTCAGCAAGTTGTACTTTTGCAGGTTGTCAAGTTCTGTGCCTTTTCACAGAACAATCATGGATGTGACATGTTAATAGCTCAATCCATTAATTAAGCAGCAGTCTCCATTTGATCCCTGTGAGATACTGACATAAGAGTGTATCTTGTTGATACAAATACAGGAAGAGGTTACTCTCTACCTGTGACCAGTCACAGAGGTTGAGATCCATATACATACGTAAACTTTCAACTTAGTCAAGCAGAGCAGTGAAATAATCACAGAACACTTCTTTAGCAATGTCAATACGTCATTAACATTTACAAAGCACTTTGCAGACCTAGGTGAAAAGCTTTTATAGGGTTACAAACAGAAAGAAACAGGCAAAAAAATCCCTAGCTAAATGCAACTCCTAGAAGAAAAACACACAGATTTGGCTTCCTTTTATAAAGCTACATGAAAAGGTGCTCTTTCTGATCAGTTTAAACACACTTCTGCAGTGCAAGATTATTGCTGAGGACTGATTATTGCTGAGATGCATGCCTCAAAATCCAACTTAAATCCTATGAAAGGTGTTCAGAAAACTGATTCAAAAGCAGACAGCAGTTTCTTCCTCCTTGACGCAGAAAGAGCAAGCTGGAGAATATTCCAGATACTGTCTCCACTTCTCTAACTGCTTCCTCCAATATAAATGCAAGAGGTAAAGCCACATGAAAAGTCTTAAAGCAGCAAGGAGGCAGCAGACCTTCCCTGCATACAGAGCTGACAGCAGAAATGACAGCACTTTAGAATGTGAAATCCACAGCTAAGAAAAACATAATATTGCCCTCTTGTGCACTGTAAGATTTTTTTACAACTCATTGAGAATAATTTACTTATTTTCTTTCTCCAGAGCATTGCTAATCTACTCTTTAGCTGTTAAACTTTTCAGAAATGCCTGTAAAATACAAAAAAAGCCTTCCTAGAGGATTCATGACTCCTTTTCAGAGAGGTATCACTATCTTGGCTCACAGGGACAAAAAATCTATCTATGAAGATTTATCAAAGCAAAAAGTCATGTCACCTCAATGCACTGGTACGTAACCTGCACTTCACCTGAGTAAATAAATCAGATGTACTAGTTTTTGACCCATCTAATACTTTAAAATATTTTTCTGTTACTGTAGTTAAATTTCCAGCCAAGATTTTAATGAAGCTAGACAGGAATCCCAGAATGCAAGTGAGAAAAAGAAATCAAATAAATGTATCTGAAACATTGTACCATCCTTACTCAATTTTTAAGACTAGAAGACATGAAGAAAGAGTGCAGTTTCATGTGGATGAGTAGTAAATAACAAAGGTTAAAGACCAGCCCAAAGACTAGATATCACAGAAGTTCCCAATCCAGACTTCAGCTTTGAGGATTTCCTAAAGAGGGTCAGGTTTCTCTGCAAACCTTAACTTCAGTTCACAAATTCACTCAAGCAACTCTCGAAAGAGACATTATCTAGAACCCAACATATAGTTGGATAGAACTACAGCTGTGTAGAACAATAGTTCAGGTCTCCTTTAGAATGAGTTCCATGCTTGAGATTCTCCTCTTTTCTGTTTTAAAATCCATGACTTCTTCTACAGCAACCTTGTCAGTTTTTCTGCTTCTTCTGTGTAATTTGGCCACTTAATCACACATAAGCCTGGGATGTTCCTCAAGACTTTCATTTGAATAAATTTGTCATTCTTCTGTTACTCATTGGTAGCCAGCATGTATAACTTGTTTCTTCTCAGATCACAAAACCAATTTACATATTCTCAAACTGTTACAGTCTCTGGATTAATTTCCAGAGAAACAGACTGGAAAAAAATCACTGTTGCATGGTTATCTAGTTAAAAATCAGCAAAGCCTTGTGGAATTACTTACGTTGTTTTCTTGATTCTTGTTATTCTGAAGAAGAGTGATGACACAATTGTGAATGAAGAAGGCAAGTGTTAGAACCCCTGTGAGCTGAGGGAACAGAACTCTAAATTCTAAAGGAGGGGAGAAAAAGTGTTAGTAACTTGTTTCTATGAAACGTCAATATCCAGATAACATATAGTGTGGCAGATTCACAAAAGTAAGAATAGACGTGTTGAAAAGGGACAATCTGTCCTTGACCACAGCCAACACAAATATTTAATTACGAAGTACAAAATGCATGAAGATGGTGGTTACTATATTACGCAGTCTGCAAGAAAGTTTCTTGCATGACCCCAGCCACTAAAATGTAGCAGGTTAATCTAGGACTTAACAAGCCTTCCTGCTTCTGAACAGTTTAACTGCAGAGCATTTTTTAAGGCAGGAATTGGTTCCACCGCAGCTGTAAATGTTCTGGTCCCCAAAAATGGAAATGAGAGAAAAGCTATTATATGCTCTGAGAGCTTCCTTTGTTTTTGAAAAATGATGAAGATTAGCAAGCTGGTTATGCTCCTAAAAGAAAACTGCCATATGCAGATGTTAAAGATGCTACTTCAAAAACAGGGTACAAGCCCCTTCGCTAACCCTTTATAGCATCAATGATGCCTTTTTAAAAATCTGTAGTCTCCATGGAAATAGCAGAGTATTATTTCTTTGAATATTAGAAGGACTATGTTACGCTGAATATTTGAAGGGTCTGCTCAGCCCAGAGAAGAAAAAACTGAGAGGGGATCTGATCAATGTTCATAAATATCTAAAGTGTAGGAAGTAATTGGACGCGGCCAGACTCTTTTCAGTGTTGTATAGTGACAGGACAAGGGACTCTAGACAGTCAAAAACTAGAACATAGAAAGTTCCACACAAAGAGGTGGAAGAACAGTGAGGGTGACGGAGCACCGGAACAGGCTGCCCAGAGAGGTTGTGGAGTCTCCTTCTTTGGAGATATTCAAGATTCATCTGGACGCCTACCTGCGCAACCTACTGTAGGAAAACAGCTTTAGCAGAGGTTGGACTCAGTGATTTCTAGAGATCCCTTCCAACCCTTGCAATTCTGATTATGTCCACAATACTTTTCCTTGAAGTGCTGCAACTTATCTAAGAATTTACCAATGCCGTAACATGATTAAAGCACCATCTTTGTTGATATTATGAAAGGATAAATATATACTGGAGAGAGTTACAGAAATTCGATATGTGAGAGCTCGCTCAGCTTCTGGAAAACATCCAGCAATACAGCAGAACACTCATCAGATGCTCAAAAACCCTCAGAGATCACACAGAGCTTTATGCAAGAATATCTAAATCAGCTTTCTCTAAAGTGCTATGAGGTTGAGCCAGTTAAAAATACTTCAAGCAAATAACAAAGGGTTCAACAAGTTTGACAGAAAATACTTTCTGTAAGGGTGGATTCATTGTATTTTCAGTACTTAACAAGCACGATGTGTTACCAATAGATTCAGAGTGCAAGTTTTGGCCTTGTTTTCCATCCTCTACTTTAATGTCAATAATAAAAATTGATCCATCAGATTCAGAATTTCTTTCAGTATTGTTTTCCTCATCACTACAACAACCTGCTGTAGCTGCATTTGTATGCATCACCTACATGCTTTGTCTATATTCTAACAGTATTAGTAATGTTACTGAAATAGTCTAACCACTGGGTACTCCACTTCTTACAAATGTAATGCTATATATGATAGGAAGTGATTCAATTCCATATAGGTTGACCTGATCTGGGTGGCAACATTGCCTCTGAGTTGGAACCCAACTCTAATCGTTCCATGACTTTACAATAATATTAGAAGACACAACTCCTGTAAAGAGTAGGGTAAAACAGTTTAAGATCTGGCCCTTATTTCTCTTTTGAGGTCTCCTAAACCAAGAAACTGATCTCTTTAGACTATCTTTTCATTCAGTAGAACTGTTTATACAAACATAATGTTTCACAGAGTGATTTGTAATGTTACTGTGAGAGTGGGGGGAAAGCAAAACAACATTCAAGAAAGGAAAAAAGGGTACCGGAAAGCTAACAGCTGTTGGAAAGTGAAGATTCCTGAACCTCTAGATGCAACTTCAGACAGCATTTCCTTACTGTGCTTACCACACAAAGATGTTAAGAGGTGAACAAGACAGACATTTTAGAATTGTTTTAGAAAGCAATTAAGCCCATCATATACATTTCATTACATTCCTAATTATCTTACCTGGTACAAAAAATTCATTCCCTGTAAACCAGTTGAATTCTAAGTGAATTCCCAGGTGAGCAGCCTTTACAGTAACCAGAAGAACTAAGTAGATAACTGAAACCGTACCTAGAAAAGACCAAACAAAAACCAAGAGGCAATAGAAAGTATTTTTACTGTGCTTTTCCTTGCTCCATCCAACCAGTTATAAGTAGCCGAAACTTTTACAGGTGGTATTCATTCTTAAAAATACAAAATAGTTCCAAATTTTCTTTTAGATTCTTTTTTATATGTGAGAGAAAGAGCAATGCAAACTTGCACTGAATGCACACGTTAAGTATGTCTAATGTTCTGCAAATACTGCACTAGTCACAGTGAACCAGCAATCCCTCATGCTAGTTAGGTAAGAAGAGCTCTAGACGATAACCGATGGATTCTAGATTCAACTGTCAGGATTCTAATCGGACGTGAGACATTGCTGGCCAAAGAAAGCACAGCTATCTCAATGTCCATTCACTCAGTCCCTTGACTGCATAGTCCAGTGAGAGATGAATTAATGCTTACTACAGTTGTCAACTTTAAACTGAGAGATAAAAGTTTGATAACAATGCTTGATAACTTTAAAATTTGTCATGATCATGGAGAACTTTGGTCATAATACAGGATTTGAACTCCACCTCATTGGTCCAGAGTCATCCAGCAACAATCTGCACTGCTAAGGGATTATGAATAAGATTACAGTTTGTACAAATGCCTTGCTGTGTCTGCCTGTGAGACAGAGAGAGTATGAACTTGGCTTCAGAACCTAAAAGAGAGGGGCAGAAGAAGGGCAGATAATAACTACTCAGAAATTGAAGGAAACCTTGCACCAGTAATTAAGGCTACTGTGATGTAACCTCCAGGTCAACAATATTGTATTATTTCCAAGGCTACAAGGTAAATTACAAAAATACAGTCAAAGACTAAGAAGATAAAAGGTTCTGTTCTTTAGGATCCACTTAACAGCTAAAATTGTCTATAGTTTCCTCACAATTTAGGTTTCCATAAGTATGAAGATAAGCAAGAGTTTTCTACCAAGATTCATTTTAGTACATGAAAAATCAGACAAGTCTTCCAATTCTTGTCTGAAAAACTTAGAAGATTTACAGAAGCTAAAGCAGCTTTGAAAACCTTCTGCATTAAATAATAATCAATTGAAGTTATGAGAAAATTCATGCTTTAATACACAGGTTAGTTCTCAAGTGAAAAACAGATGCCTATGATAGAGTGCTTATTTTAAAAGCAGATATATTTATGGCATGTCTCATCTGAAAAATATTTTCTTAACCCTAAACTTGATATTCTATATAAACACCTGACTTTTTAGAAAGAAGCCTTATCACTTACTCAAATTTCTATATTGTATCTCCATTTATTAGATCCAGCAATAGTAGTTACAAGCTCTAATTCACTGTCACACTGGCTTCAATTCCCTGCCTATTATCTTCTTTACAATACAGCTTCATCTTTTTCAAACAGTTCTGTATTTTCCACCTGTTTTTTTCCCCTTCTCTTCAGCATCGGCTTCAATGCAATGCCTTCCAACATCTGCCCCCACTATCACTTACACACTTTATTTACTTTACCATTCCCAACTGCTTTGTTCTTCTATCTCAATGCACAAAAACAAGGAGAAGTCACAATTTTTGTCCTTATAGTACAGAAAGGCCAGATGCTGAGCTGAAGCAAAGCATGGCAGCAGGTTACAAGCACTGACTGACTGACGTTGCTGTGAATTAATAAACTGATTAGTGTCAAATTACTTCAGGTCTGAAGTACTTATCTTTGGAAATAAGTGCCTGTTCAAATACTTGTACCAGACGAGGAAGGGTGTAACTGACTGGTTGGGCCAAAGTAGTACGTATCAAACACTGCACTGCAGTGTGTACCACAGTTTGGGAAAATTTGTTGCAAATACAATGGAATTTATACAGGATTATCAAGGGAGCAAAGGGAAAAAAATAATTTCCTACTCACCACAAGGCTCAAGCAAAACAGGGTGGAAAGTCTGCAGGTGATTAACAAACTGACCTATGAATTGCCCAAGGTAGTATGCTGCTGGCAAGCTACTACTAGAGTAGATTTCAGTGCTTTCTATATACTTCAGACACAATAAGACAATGCTTTAGTAGTACTCGTTACCTACCTAGGACATTAAACTTTGCAAAGAAGGATGGAGACTTCAGATTTAGCAGGGGTAGAAGAACAGCAATCAAGTAAAATGGTACTGTTTGTGATTTGCTCCACCACTCCTCGAAGAGCTGAAAACCTGTACTGTTCCCAGAAGAGAATATCATACTCTGGTTCTGTGGTGGGTGATCACTAGCAGCATTTGGACAAATGACTGGAAAGGAAAATAAAAATATACACAGATGAAAAGAATTTCACTTGCACATAGTTTTCACTACTAAGATCCCGTAATTTCTGGATTTTTTTACCTCTAGGGTGAAGAACCAAAAGCAACGTTTAGCAACTCAGATCTTCTTGTTTGTTATCAGTAGTTCAGTGCTACAGTTTCCCTGCTGTGCACCTTGTACTATAAGCTGAGCACAACAGAAACACTCACTTGTTTGTAGCCTGAGTTTTGGCATAGTCTCCAGGGTTACCTACCTGCAGCCATGTCCTGTGCCTACATACATCTGCCCAAATTCAGTCAGAGCAGCACACCTCTACATTTCACTTCATGCTTTGCATTGCGATCTGTCCTGCACTCTTAACATCATATTAATAAATGCATGCACATCTGTCTACAAAAGAACCTGCATCACTGCATGTTGCATGTGATACACAATGAAACACACAAACAGCTTGACAAGAAAGCTATGATTACCAGGGGCAGGTCTAAAACTCATGCACAAAAGCAAATATACTCTCATCTTGATGTAATGTCAGGTTGCAAGTAAGTCACTTTCAGACAACAGAAGCAACATGAGAAATATACACATAATTCTGTGAAAAAACAATGTCAAATTCCTGTTACATGGTAACACCTGAACAGCACCTTAACAAGTGACTGGAACAAAACCAACCAAACATAAAAGATGCTTTGGAAAATATGCCAATTGTGAAAATATGCCAATTTGCTTCCGGTTAATATTGGCATTTCTTTCTAACATGTCTATAAAGTTATGTGTTGAAATATGAACCTGCCTTACAGTTCTCATGATTTCTCCTTTCTAACCTTGGCATTCCACAATATTTTATAGCCTGCCTCCCACACTGCCTTCATAAGTATTTTGTTACAAAGGCAAAGGTGTATAAAGTGTTCTATCAAGTTTTTTGAGACCATTATGTTAATTCCAGGATTCTTACTTGCATTACGTTACTTATAACAGGACTGTTTCACAGACCTTGAAAAATGCTTTTGGTTTTTGTGATCTCCTTCCTCCCTCCCCCCCAGATATCCAGCCAAGAGACATCTGATTATCCAGCAGCCCTTAGTTCTGTATTGATTCTGCATTGAATCTTCCAGTAATGCTATGGAATAGAGGAATATGATTTTCTAACTTTTCTTTAAGTTGCATCTCCTGCTGCCAGAGAATGGGATGAAACAAGAGAAGCAAGATGAAACAAGAGAAGTTTTGCTCACAAGAGAAAAAACACAGCAGAAGCTTCTGGTGCCTTGCTCATAAGGACTTAAGGAGAAACAGAGTTCAGCACTAAATCAATGCAAATCAACTGGTTTTCAGAATTATTTGAGTTCCTTCACCTGACTCCAAATAGCTGCACTCCAGCAACACTATTACAGCTGGCATGACACAGCTGTTTCTGAAGTGTTTCTCTATCCCCAAAAGAGCTTAGAATAAAGAAAACTTTCAGCTTCATAAAACAGAGCTACACATCAAGTTATTTAGTACATCAAGGCAGAAAGACCTGAAGCTGATGACGTGCAAGCTCCCGCCTTCACTGTGTGTTACACTCTGCCTATTTGAAAACTCTCAATCCATCTTCATAATTGAATGCAGATTCTTGTCTTAGAGAACATTAGAGTCTCTGCGAAAACAAGTGAACACTCGTGCAGCCAGATGCTATTTCTTTCTGTGTTCAGCAATTAAAAAAAAATGCTTACAGCATTAAAATAAATAAATAAGTAAATAAATCCTGCAGAGTTATTAAGGAACAAAAACATCCCAGCCAAGAATTTTCAACAGAAAACACACTTCCTATGCCTCAGTTTCAGGGTGCAATGGTTAAAATTCCTTACGGAAACTCCTAATCACACAACTGTTAGTTGATCTAACATTCACGGCTTTTAGGAGTACCTAGCCGGGTATACACTAACTCATAATATATTTCTTAAGCCTTGTCCTCTCCCCCCTGCTGTTTCATTTTAAATTATAAATCTTTCCAAGTGTAGTTAACTGTAGAAGCAGAAACTCCAGATAGAAAACATTAGCTTTCTAAAAACAGTTAGACTTGTTTATACATTTTATAGCTGTAACAGGGTTAAAATTCATGCATGAAAACTGCCTTGAAACTCCCTCCCCTCCAGACAGTAAGTGCTTCTTACCTTTGTTACTTCCATTTGTGCCTGGAACAATATCTGTTACATTGATATCATGAACAAAGTCTGAAAAAAAAAAAATAAAATTGTATTAGCAATGTTTTGATTCTTCTATTAGGCTTTTACCCGTTAACAAAAATGTTAAGGAAACATTTTGAAAGAATAACATCAGAACTGCAATATGCAATTGGCACTTCCCACCAACCTCAGATGGGTATTTCAAGGACCACTGCACCACTTTGTTCTCAGCAGTCCCCTCCATCTATGCAATACCCAAGCATACCCTTCCAGCTGCTCATTCCTACTCCCCCAGCACATGTCCACCAGTCCCTGCTCCTTGACTGCAGCACTGCATAGTAGAGTACTGAGGAAATACATCTCAAAAGTCAGTTTATTTTGTGACAGAAAAAAAAAAAGTTATTCTTAACCATAATCTTAATCCATACAATATTATATAGATAAAGCTTCCCCTACTCATTTTTTCTAACCGTTCTTCAGGGCCTGAAGGATGTTCTGTTTTTGTTTTTTTTTTTTCCCCTCCATGTTGTTCTTTAAATAATGTCAAGTCTGGAAAAATGTCTAAGTCTCAGTATCTACAGTCATCTCTCTTAGTACTTTATCTCAACTGTACTCCTATGCGACTTTACTGCAAGTAAAAATTTTCAGGTTTCTCAAACTTTATCAGTAAAAGAGTGCTGTCTCCTTATATTTACATATGTATTGATGCATGCAGAAAAAGCCCATCAGCCTGGAAATCTAATTAGTATCCCTATGGTTAAAATTTGCTTCTGCTGCACGTGGCAGTATTATGCACACAGAAAATCAAATAGGGTAGAAGGGTTCCGATTTTTAAAGCAATTAAGAGCAGCTTGTCTCTCGTACAGAAAGGAATTGCTTTTCCTAGAAAAAGACCTATTGTGATGATTCTCAAATTTGCTTAACAGAATCAGAATGTTTTGGCAAGGATTATAATGCTAACCTTATAAAGAAAGACAAACTCTGTAATAACTATGTAGTGTAACCTTAAGAACATAAGAATTATAAAATAATGCATTCGTTACTCAATAAAGTAACGTGTGTCCTTCAGGGATGGTGAGACTCTAACTAAACTTTGCTTAGGGGGCATAAGCATCTTTGCTGTTATATGCTTCAAAAAAGATTTGTTAAGTACATTCAAAACAGAAGCCTTTAAAACTCAGTAGTGCTATTCAATACTCTTAGTTAGATTTTCAAAGCTCACAATTCCATCTTTTATTCTCATAACTCCACATACCTAATTGATTGTATCCACAAAAGCCTCTGTGTGTGCGCACATACAAGGATGTAACTAACCAAGATTTTCTTCTATAGCAATGCCAGACTAAAAATTGTTCTCCCTCTGTCCTACTGTTCATCATTCCTTTAAGGATGCTAGGAGAAATGGTCTATATGGCTATATATATATATATACTTCATTTGCTGGAATCTAGAATTAAACTTTTTTTTTTTTTGCCTGAGAGAACGGGACTTTGCCTAACAGAAAGGGACCCTGGTGTAATGATGGACAGTTGGCTGAATATAAGCCAGAAATGTGGCCAAGAAGGCCAATGGCATCCTGGCTTGTATCAGGAATGGTGAGGTGAGCAGGACTAGGGAAGTCATCCTGCCCCTGTACTCAGCATTGGTGAGGTCTCAGCTCATGTATTGTGTTCAGTTTTGGGCACCTCAGTACAGAAACGACACTGAGGTGCTGGAGCAGGTCCAAAGAAGGGCAACAAGGCTTGTGAAGGGCTTGGAGAACATGGCCTACGAGAGGAGATTGAAGGAACTGGGGCTGTTTAGTCTGGGGAAAAGGAGGCTGAGGGAGACCTTATTGCTCCCTTCCAGTACCTGAAAGGTGATTGCAGAGAGTGTGGGATTGATCTCTTTTCATTGATGACAGGTGACAGGATGAAGAGAAGTGGCCTCAAGTTGCACCAGGGGAGGTTTAGGTTGGGTAATAGGAAAACTTTTTTACAGAAAGGTTTGTTAAGCAGGCTTCCCAGGGATGTGGTTGAGTCACCATCCCTGGATGTGTTTAAAATCTGTTAGGATGTGGTGCTTAGGGACACGATTTAGCAGAAGGTTGTTAGCATTAGATTTTATAGTAGTTTGGGTAGGTTGTGGTTGGATTTGATGATCTTCAAGGTCTTTTCCAACCTGCACAACTCTATGATTCTGTGATTCTTAGGTGGAGATCTTTTTCATTAACCTGGATCATTCTGAATAGTTACATCAGCACAAACAAGAAGGGGTGGAAAGAAAGTGGAAAGAAACAAGTCAGTATTGAGTGTGGAATTTTTTTTAAGCCCAACAATGAAAACACATTTTTTAAACTAGACCAAGAAGTCTGCACTCACTTGCAAGCCAGTTAACTGGTACTTCGTCATTTATTAGAAACACATACTGAGAAATTGAGAAACTGGCTTTGAAAACATGTAAGTGACTATGCCTATAAATCCATACTTACTTATTCTCACTCGACTGTTCACAGAAAGTAACAAAATCTAGATTAAGTACAAGGGACAATCCTTTCTGAATATAAACCAAAGTTTTGATCTTTAAACAAGACAGCTGTTTAAATTAACCAAAGATTAATACTTACTGTATATAAACTTTCCTGTGTTGAACAGAAAGTTGGACATAAGCACCCAATAAACGACCATGGCTCCAACAAGAGATACCATAGAAAATAACAGGCTTGACCACTGACCGAAAGATCCAAAATAATACTTGCAAACATCTGGGAATTCCCAGTTTGAGGTATCTGTTAAAGCTGAAGAAGATTAAAAATAAACAAATCATAGTAATAAAAAAATTTAGAAATCTAAACAAAATGTTATGTTATATTAGGGTCACAAGAATTCTTCATAAAAAAACAAGTTGATTTTTTCTGAATTCTGACACAAATTCAGAGGGTTTCAAAGAGCTAAGAAGATTGCTATTAAATTTTAAGTACAAATTCATAATGCCATTCTTCCTCACATAGGTTATGACATTAATGTTGCTTGTTCTACATGGGGAGCCTGAAGAATTAGAGGCTTTACCTTGAAGAAGTGCAGCAATACTACTACTTTGAGTACTTTCAGAAGCACAGGCACTAAGGGTTTGGGCCAAAAAAATGCATGCTTGCATTTGCAGCTGAGTCTTTCTGCAGAAGTAACAGTCCTCAACAATACTTGGAAATGAGCTACATGCTGTAGCAGTAGATATTAACTACCTTTTATTTGAACAAGTAGGGTGGTAGTTTATATGTAAAAGAACAACAGTTATGAGTATTGAACAATAAAAATACACTCAAAGTAGATACACCCTCAATGATGCAATCATGCATAAACTGTATCCAACACAGACTGCAGAATACATAAATGCCTTCAGTTGTGAATATGAGACAGCAGAACTGCAGTTCTCAGATGGCTAAATGACAAGAAGAACCTCGTTCCTTTACATTCAGACACAATTTATTTTTTATATACAAATATTCCAGTGTACAGGCATACGATAAACTATTGGAACTCTGTATTTCACAGTTTTGTGGAAATATTTGCATTATGAAGCTTACGTATCATTTTTCGTGATTGCACAACTCTGAAACAGCAATAAAGTGTCAGAATGCCCATCAGTATGATGAGAATGATTCCAGAAGTAAATCCTGCCTGTTCAGAGGGAAAAAAACAACTCTGTAAGTATCAATAACACTACAAAAAAAAGAAGAGCGAGCCATATTGCCAAAAACATTTTCATAACCATATGTTTTTCATATTTTTACCTGCTTTATTCCCCATGGGATACTTAATATAGACGTGCCCATCATTGTATTCCATATCACAAATCTAGGAAGAAAAGATAAAAAGTCAGTGAATGATTTTAAAAAGACTCTTACTCCATACTACTTTCTTAGATAACATACAGAATATTTAAAAAAACGCATTTTATGGCTACTGTATGAGAAGGTGCTTAACATACATTGTCACTATACTGGAGTTTTTACCATAGCCATCTGTGCAACTGTTAACTTTAAATGCAGTTCCTAACGGACTATATACATAGATTTCATCAGGAGCTGGAAGTACGTGATCAGGAGCAACCTAACAAAAGAATAAAAAGGAATAATTATTAGTAGCATCAAAATAAATATTACCCCAAATACAGCAAGTCAACTGCTGTAAAACAAAATCTTTCCAGGAAAAGCACACTTTAAAAGAAAAAAAAAAGGTGGGCCATGATTTTTTTTTTTAAGAACATTAAAAAACATTCACTGGATTCTTAACTAAGCAGTAGAAAGGCAGACTTTCTACTGAAAAATACTGGTGACATACAGAGCTCAATCACACAGACATAGCTCAATCACCACAGCTGATTGGTGCTTAAATCCTCCTCATAAAGGGCAGCAATGAGTACACCTATCTGGGCAGCCTGGACCGCTCTTCCAAAATTAAAACTATATCTTTTCTTAGATGGTAAAGACAGAAGAATTTGATCTTGACTTGTGATAACAGGAAACTTTGTCAAGATACTCAGCTACTAGATGTCTACTTCAAAGCAAACTACAATTAGTTTCCCCCCTACCATTGTTTGTACTTCTTTTATATACCTAGGCTGTGGAAGACCCAACACTCAGTTCATCTGGCCCTGTCTTTGTCTCACCAATGCCTTGTCTGAAGGAGATGTGAGCCTGCTATAGTAATGAATCCGCTTATTCATTGCTGAAGCTTCGTCAGAGACTCTTTGCATGTCATCATTGGCGCTGACTATGTTTGTAGGCTCCACATGAAATGGTCTAAAGGAGGGGGATGAAAAATGAAAAGAAAGGAATATTTTTAGCAATCCTGTACTACAAGAGTTAACATAATTCAGAGAACAGCTTAGAATCACTCTGGCCATGTCTGTCATTCATTGACAAAAAACAAATGCTGTGAGTGAAACCATCAAATCTTTATATAATCTACATTGCTCAGACTCTGCACAACAACCTAACATCAAAATTCAGACCTAATATCCATTCTACTAGCTCTCAGCAATGAGTCACATGAGTAACACAACGTTAATGAGCTTGGCCAAGCACATTAACATTTATAACTTGTGCTGCCAGAACTAGCCATGATGAATAGAGCTAGAAACAGAAGGCACAAGTAAGGCAGAAACAGAAAAAAGATAGAGAAAAAGAGGAATAAGCAGAGGTAATGAGAACCTGCTAAAAAAAAAGGCTGGGAACTAATAATCTAGCCAAAAACTCTGCATAAAATTGTGTTTAATGCAGATGGAACCAAGCCCAAACAAATCAGTGTGGTACTTTTGAGCCAAAGAAACCAGGACTACACTTTGCCACTGAAAAGTAGATGTCCACTTTCAATTCTGAATCACCTTCAGATTTCCTTTCGAATTTAGACTAATTACAGAGAATGAGATTCCCAGCAACAGATGCCCCACAGTCCAGACATACCCTCTTGAACACAGACTACAGCAGGAAGGTGGCCTTCCTTTCCCTCTTCTCTAGTTATACAGGTACTGCAAGTATGGTCACAGCCACTGCAGAAGAATGCAGCCACCTCCACCGAAGTTTTCTCTATGTGTACCGACTCGTGGAGCAGAGAGATAGCTGCAGTTTTTCCTGCTCCTGATGCTACAACAAATCTTTAGCAGAGATTTCATCATGTTTAAGGCTACCAACAGTAAAAATTAAATTAGCAATAAATCCATGTCATTTTTACTGTAATACGATTATGGTCTATTTGAATGACATCCTCAGTACACCTTTCTGGCTCAGACCTACAAAGGAAACCTTTCTGCCACTGCTCTCAGTAACAAAGGTTTCATTCTTTTCTCATGTGAATAATTAAGCATTTCCTTCCCATTTATCCAGAGGAAAGAAAAGGAATATTGCTCTGAAGTCAGCTGTGATATCTTTGAAAAGATGATGCTAAGTTCTAGCATGGCCTCATTCCTGAATGCTTAACAGGCACAGCAGTTATGAGTATCTGTAGGAGAAATGTAAACCAGTAAAGAAAAATCTAAACAATCAGAGAAAACTATCTCTCTTCACTCCTTTACAAGTTAATCATTCTTTCCTTCATCTTAAGACATCATTACTTATATCCTCCTTTTCCCTCCTGGAAAAAAATTGCTTAGACTTGCTAAACCATTTCATATACACTAAAATGAAAATGGACACTTCTCAGTTCTTACAGCATTCCACACTGAGGTGGGTTTGTTTTTTCTTTTTTTTTGTTTGTTTGTTTGTTTGAAAAGAGTTCACGAAATGAAGGGGAAAATGCTGATTATGTATGTGGACTTCTAGGGTGTTCCTATAAACAATTAAGACTTTGTCACAACTAAACAGAAATAAATTTTAAGCCATAGCCTTAATGTTCAAGCCTGAAATGCACCTTCGCAAACAAAAATACTCATGGATTGTCAGCTTTATGAGACTTAACTTTTTTTAGCTCCAAATGTATTGGGTTGATCCAGTCATTGGACACTGCTGCAAAAAATACCTCATTAGAAGAGCTGTATAATAAAGATTGTTACAATGAAAACAGGAAACATGATATGTTTGAATGCCTCCTCAAATGAGCTCTTTTTTTTTTAATTAAAACATAAAATATAACTGAAAGTGCACTTTTCATTTTCTTCAGTATTTTGATCATTGTCTGGACTGAATAAGCAAAATGTCACTATTCTATACAACAGAATAGCATGATTTAGAATCAAATATATGTGTGATGGAAACAAACAAACAAACAAGCAAAAAAACACAAAATAACCCCAAGGAAATTCTGCATTTGCGTTGCTGCTGCTTTCTGCCTGGAGGAATACATGTTTAATGCAGACAATACTTGGGTGACTTCCCCTTCTGGTAACATCAGCTGCACCCTTCTGGTGTACACCGGATGAGAGTGATAATGATCTAAAGCAGTAATTGTTTTTTTTTTCTCAGAATACCTCCAGTCATTTGGAGCAAATGACTATGATAAGACAGACTGATCCCTCATCAGTTCTACAGTTGCTACAGGTCTCCCAGAAAACATTTGTAAGTTAGGTAGGCAGACTAGGATATAATCTTCCTCTTTGATCTCATTGGGCGTAGGTGGCACTCTTGTTTAGGATCAAGGCCATTACCCAGCCCCCAGTCATACTCAGATCAAAGACTGGCCGTAGGGCATAATCAGACATGTCCAAAAGCTTTCAAGAGAGTACTTTAAGATTTTCAAAGCCCAAAGGAGGTAGGACACAATTTGGGCTGCATTTTGGTAAACTCTTTCTTAGGGACCTTAAGCTTAGTAGCCACGCAGTCTGCACATACAAGCATCTGCAGTTGCAACAGATCCTAGAAAACTTCCTGATTTACACAAGCAATCTCACTGTATAGCTCATGTGGCAAAACGAATACGAAAAGGATGCGGGGCAACGTGATCTGAGGGAAGGGGAGAGGCTCCATGACTAAAGGCTGTGACTATTAATGCAGAACAGTGCAGACAATTACTATGCACTGAGACAGATGACAGTATCCACAAATGTATTATATCCACACCAACAAACACAATTACAACTTGTATTTCAATAGCTAGCATGAAAACCAGTGCTCTTTTTAGCAGGACAAACACACCAGTAAAACATGGCTGTTTTCCACAACAGAGTGAGTAGAGACTACATGCAGGATTCCATGCAGGAGGTCCTTACCTCCCACACATTACCGCTTGCACATGTACTTCAGAAACCATTCCCTGCAAACCTGTAACTTGCTCATCTACTACTTATTTTCTCACAAAGAAACACAGTTAATAAAAATCTAGCCCTGGTCTACAAAAAAAGAAAGCTGTAGTCCAAACTTTCTCATATTATGAACTTGGGTAGCAAAGGAAATGACAAGAGATGCTCACAATTAGAGCTGTTTCCAAGTATTACTCTGTGTAAACCTCAAATGTTGGATTGGGAAGGTTGAGAAAAGAACAGAATAAGTAATTCTGTTTCGCAAGCTACATATAATCTCACAGCTGCTAGCACCTGTAAGGTGACACATCTCATTTCTGGATATTTTCAGAAAGGTATTCTATTTTGCAGAGCAGTGAAGCAGTACAGCTAATACCTACCTTACCTTTTAGCTGAAATTTTTAAATAGCTAACAACTGTTTCTGGAGAACTAAGCCCTTACAATGTAGTTTTTAATGCTGTTGAACGTGTTTTAGATCTGCGTGATGTTATTAACATTATTTCATAACTGAATAATAGGAATAGCACAGTTTATTTTTTTCCCTACAAAAAGACCACAAGAAGCTTATTACACAGATTTCTTCAACAAACTCCACATCTGTTAGCTACTTCTTCAGGAGATTGAAAATATTATTATTAGTCACCAAATTATTACAGGATCACTGTACAGTGCACAGAAGAAACTATGAAATGAAACTGCTTCACTGTCATGGAAATTGAAGTAAGGAGCAAAAGTAGTAAGAAAAACTATGGATATAGATATCTATAGTCAATATCTATATTGACTGTGGATTCATAGATTGATATTTCTTCCACCTATCTGCCTAAGATCACTACAGATGTTATTGTACTTACCTTGAGGAAACCAGCTCCAAACAACTCCATGACTTGATTTCTACCATCTAAGCTGTATAAATTTTAAGTAATGAATTTTAAGTATACTTGCAGTGTATCCTATAAGGTCTTTATTCTCTTGGCAACTTAACCTTTTCCCATATTCATATTTACCAGTGTAATTATAATGATCAGTGCATGACCACACAACTACCTTAAAATACTCGATGGAAGCAGAACTGTGATAATCCTTTAGAGGATGCACACCAGTTTAGCAAATAAAGTACCACAAGCTTTGGCACACCACATTTCAAGCACTTTCCCTCTGTCAAAGGTAAAGACATTCTATACCTCTCTTACAACAGGTAAGAAGGTTCATAGAGAGGTATTGTGAGGAAGTAGTATGATTAGGAATTAGTAGAAATGTTAGTGATACAGAAATATGAAAACCAAGCAATGGAATGAAAAGTTCACGTGGATTTGGAGAAGTAAAAGCAAGAATGCAGAAACTGTAGCTGCCGTGGAAGTCAGCCTTTACCATTATCTATTTTTTTAAGTTAAGAGAAACGTTAAAACGAAAAGGAAATAATTTCACATGAGAAAAGCTTATCTGACTGCCACCCACAAATACTGTTTAATTTGTAACTGTTTAATTTCACCTTCTGATCTTTCCTGCATTGTAAGAGAACATCATGGAACTTCAAAAGGAATTGAGGGGAAAAAAAAGCACAGAAGGCTTGGTCTTCCCTTACAAGGGGCACTGTTTTTCATATGCAAAACAATACACTGACAAACAGTATGTTTAAAGAGCATTAAGAAGAAAAAAAACTGCTATCCCTTGAATATAGTAAGCATCACCAAGCCATTACAATGACAGTCTGGCTTTCAAAGGGCCCTATAAAACAGGCAAACAAGCCTAATAGAGTGCAAGAAATTCAGGTCATTGTGAAGAACCCCCTTTGAGAGTGTTAAAAGTAGCTCTGTATTTTGCCCAGAATACTAGGAGAATACTAGATAAAATAATTTACAGTTCTATTAAAAAAAGCAATTTGTTCATTGTTTCTAAGTAAATAATGAAAAACACGCCTTTCAAAATCCTAAATCTTCCAAGCTTTAAGAAAACCAAGTAACGATGTAAATGAAATCAAATCCCAAAACCCAAGCAAAGGAACAGAACAGTATCAAAAAAGGACAAAATGAACTTTAAAAGATTACAAAGAACTCTTTGATACCGATCTCAAAGCTTAATAGGGATTCTGAAAATTTGTGGTAAGTGACCACATACCTACATCTGATTATAGTTTCTGAACAGTGAGTTTAAAAAAGGAGCAACTAAGCAGAGCACATCATGTACCATTATTGCATTTGCACCATTGGATCTTTTCGGATGATAAACCTTTCTCCCTTCAGCTACATCTCCCTGAAGATCAAAAGAGCAATCCCTTTTCAGTCACACTTCCAAGACCACACAGTCCCCAGTATTGCTCTGACCATGTTAAGGCAAGCTCTTCTTCCTTGTTTCTAGTTCTAAAGATCATAGAATCACAGTATCATTAAGGTCGGAATCTCAAAGGCCATCTAGTCTGTCCATCTACCATCAGTGTTGCCCACAAAACCGTGACCATTTAGTAAGACACCCACATGCTTCCTGAACACCTCCAGGGACAGTGATTCCACAGCTTCCCTGGCAGCCTGTTACAGTGCCCAATCACCCTTTTGGGTAAGCTTTTCCTAATATCCAACCTGAAATTTGTGCTATGCCTTCTAAAAGATAGAAATTCAACCTTGTTTGGCACAGTGATTTCCGGGTCTTTCTGATATCCCAGATCTGATGCCCTTTGTCTTTGTGCCTCTGCATGCTTGGAAGACAAAAGACTAGGGTGTTCTAAATGGAAGAAGGAAATTAAGGGAGGAACAATAATGACAAAGAGAATGGATCTGCTGGAGGTTGTGAAGGTAGAAATACAATCCAGGAACATTCAGGAACATCTACTGCTTTTGTAGAGAGAACTAAACACCAGTTTGTAATGTTTTATGAAGTTGAATCACCAAATCTAAGAAATCACATGGACAATAAAAAGCACAATAAGGAATGAATACCTCACTTTTGAAAAGTGGATCTTGGTTTTTTATATGTCACAACGGAGCAGACTTCTCTCATTACTTCTTGAAACTCGCTGCTCTTCCAACACAACACATGCAGTCTTCAACATAAAGAGCTCCCCAGAACCTCTATAAAAATTAGCAATCTTCCTCTGTCAGAGGAGCTGTGAGGGAATGACACTCCACAGGAATAAGATGAACTAAAAATGTAGTTTGCACAATCCCTTTTTCCACCTCTACTGTTTTCTAATCTTTATATAAATTGTTCTGCGCATGCTCACACCTGTGTTCCATTGTTCCCCTGTGCTAATTCCTACCTTTGTCTTCCCTCCATCTTCCATCCCTTTCCCTCGTATAGATGAGAAGTTATTTAGCCCTGGCTAACATATTGTCTCGTATGGCTTTCTAAAGCTACAGGTCCAGGCTGAGACAGCAGGAATTCACTAACTTCAAAAACTCTTGCAGAAGTGGCCACAAGTAAAAGGAATTTGTATACAACACTGCCATCTTCAGCTTCTACGGGAAGCCTGCAATACTTAATAGGATGCTTGATGGAAAGAGAAAAAAAAAAAAAATGAGGCAAAGGAATAAAACCATAGTCCTAAAGCACAAGGTATTCTTTTTTGTAAAAAAGAGTAACTGTTGTCTCCAGCTAACACAAGAAGGGCAGTCCTCATTCTGATCTCAGTTTTGATTTAATAACAAACAACAGCTCACAAAACCTTAACTGCCATAGCAGAGGAATTCTCCTCTTCTGAGCTCCTTTAAGGAACAGAACTGTTAAATTGTATGAGAACATTATTATATAGGAGAAAATTATTGCTTAGCTAGATCTTACTTTTGCAGCTAAAGCAAAAAGAGCAAGCTGTTCTATTTTTCGTATTTGCTCTGTCTAAAAAAAAAAAACCAAAGAAATGCTATAGCGTTCCTAAAGACAAAATATTTCCTCAGTATGAATTAAAAATATATTCTTCCCCATATCACCTTCAGAATGCACGCACAGCCATTCACACACATTGACAGCCACTCACCTACTGCATCTGGCAAGCCTTCATACAGTCCCAACATTTCACTTTGTTGTGTTAAATAAAAATCATCTGGTGCTTAGAGAAAACATAGTACAGAGACAAAATTGCACTTAGACCCTAGTTTCCAAATAATAGTTATATGCCTTCATAGAATTCTGCTGCTGCAAGCAAAAATTAGACAGAAAACCACCACAGAATCATTCCGTATGCTAAGCCTTCATCTCACCTTTTGCATTTAAAATCTTCTGGATTAAACTGTATATTCATGATTCCATAATTACTTTCATCGCCTCCTACAGGAATCAAGAGAGGCTTTGTATCCTCCTCCATATCTGATGAATATGCTTCTTTCTTCTAGACTCTGACAGTTATTCTGAACAAAAGAAAGAAAACAAGACAAATGCAGTTAGGTAAGCTATATATCTGCAATGAATTTAGAACTGGCAGTTCCACAGGTTCAGAAGCTGCTGAGGAGAAAACAAAACTCCTTCAGTTTGCTTCTGGGAATTGTCATTTAGTAATGCAAACATCACTGGTCAAGCACAGCAGGCATAACAATTTCAAAACACCCTCCACATTTAAGTAAAGTGTTCAATAAATCATTGTGCTCTGATTCTTCTACAGCAACAGCCAATATAAATTAAAGCACTGTGATGGATGCTGCTTTTACACTGGGATTGAAAAAAATTTGTAATCTGAATTTTATGTATTTATTTATTTATTTTGAGTTACTGTAGCAAAAAACAAGTCCACCATGTGGAAAGTAACATTAAGTATTTTTATGTGTAGGTCTTATTCAACTTCACAGCATAAGACTCCTTTCCAGTTCCCACTGTTCCACTGGAAGACTCCCATGATTTTTAAAAGAGCTGTATTTGCAATTAGCAACAGAACAGCTGAGAACAACTTATCCAGATTATGAGAGACTATTGTTTCAATAAATTTCTTCAAACTTTACAGCAAATACAGAGTTTTCCAGTGTATTTCCCAGAATAAAGATTGAATTATAGTGGTGTATCATGTCCATGTCCTTTGAATTAAAGACAACAACTGGCTTAATAATGCATTAATAATTATGTATTGCATGCATTCAGAACACTCCAGGCTAAACAAAAGGAAGCAAGCTGCTTTTAAGCAAATGGAATTATATTTTCTTCAACTGAATTGTAGGCCTCACATGGGACTTGATGCAGTCTCATGTTCACATGAACAAACATAATGATTTAACAGCTCTCACACTTGCTACCTGCTGAAATTCCTCAGCCAGGACATATTTTTCAAGCAAAAATGGTAGAGGTTTCTGCTTTTCCAGTGCAATTGTTTCCTGATATTTTGTATGGTAGACAGGCTGATGGAAAGGTAAGTGGGAACTAGAGATAGCAAAAGATCAGAAAAGGATGGCACTGAACGGAACAATAGAATGAGCTGTTCTAAATTTACATCAGGCTTCTTGTCTACCTGGACAAGCATGCCTGTGCAAAGGAGTACAAATGATGGCATTTCATCCTATAAGGATGCCAGTTCCTTCATGCCTTCAGCATGCATAACACTACAACTCATGACATACAAGATTTGAATTAAGTCTTTTAAGTTTAAAGGCATGATTTTATCTTGTTCATATTGGCAGTGACACAGATCACAAAAAGCAATCAGATAAAATAAGACAACTGTACAAGCATTCTTTGCAGCCCGTGATAACACCACCTTTTCCTCACCCTTCATTTTTGCTGTCGCACTCCCCTTTAGTCCAAAGTCCTTCCCTTCTGCATCATCCCTGTTACTTCTTTGGCTTCATTTGGAATGTCTTAAATACTCTTTTTGTTTTACAACCTTCTGGTGACTCTCACCTTTCACATTCCTGCTCATTTCCTCTCGATTTTCTGCCTCTCCTATACACTGTCAAAACTGCTTTCCAATTGCCCTTAACAACCACTATTTACAAAGAGATTTCTTAATTGACAGCAATATTTTAATTTCCTTTCAGATAACACTATTGCTTTCCAAATCTCATTTATAGCTTCCCTCTTGATCATTTCTCTTCTACTGATTTCTTATATAATTTTCTATAGCTCTATGTCACATCTTTTCTCCCTACTGACCACCTTTATGACCTGTATACTCCCAATTTAACTCATATCAGTGCACTTCTTCTAACTGCTTAATACTACTGAAAGAAAATCAATGAGATTAGAGACTTCATCTACTACTACAACTATCCACCTGTTCCTCTGTCACTCCCAAGATCTTCTGCATCCCTCTGATTGCATCTTGAGAAAACAGTTTTTATGGCTTTATTTTTGTTGCTTTTAATGGTAATCTCTACAGCTCATAGCTTCTTTTTTTCTGTGTAAAACTTTACTGGAAGTCTCAAGTGGAAGACTGATAATCCAGTTAACTGTTCCTTTTCATTCTGTTCTGTTGTCTTTTTCAGCTTAACATCCTGCAAACTTTTCCCAAACAGGTACCCCCTTACCTCAGGAGCTGAGATCCCTCCCTTCTGCGTTTTGCAATCTCTTTGTTTGATTTTAAATCACACTCTGGATTTAGCCAAAACAACACAGATTAAAATTTAAATCTCTAGTGGATGGACTGGAATTGGAAACAAATTCAAACCGCAACACTCATCAGTGAATTTAGCCAGAATTTTCCAGAAGACTGAGCAACTCAGAACTTTTCCTTCCTCGGGGCTCTGATTATGGTGTGGATAAAGTATCGCTTCATACATCACTTCCCTAAAACCTCTTGTAAACAATGTATTTGTGCTTTATAATTCAATCTGAAAAATGCAGAAAACAATGATCACCAGTAAGACTTTCTGTGCACTATGGCTACAAAGGATCCAGAACACTTTCAAATATTCCATAAAGAAAAGCAATCCTTCCAAGACATAGCATGTACCAAGTTAGGTTTGAAAGCATAGTTTGGGATGCAGCACTGTTTATTTGCCTCTTAAGAGCCTATTTAAAAATAAACCCTTTTCAAAAGTCTAGCTTGTAAGTGCTTATTGTTCAGAATAGATAAAAGAAGCTTATGACCAGCAAATTAACTACTTTACAAATAGATGCAGATATGAAAACTGTATAATATCAAAACTGTATGATATGACAACTGTAGCCAGAACCAATGTAGCTTAAAAGATAACTGCAGGCAAAAGAACAAAGCACAGAAGAAGTAACCTGATTAATTATTGTTTAATCTAATGCCTACTACTCCTTGCCTGGATTGCACTGCCATTAAATATTTCTTATACACGGGATTACGCTGGTTGTGATATCCAGACTTATTGCCTGACCATTTCCACTACATCAAATACTTCTCTCCAGCTTGTTTTAGTAGTGTTACAGCTACCTTGAGCTCTTATACTAAGAATCTGACTTACGCTCACCTAGTCTTGGAGTTTCATCTTTTAAAAAAACTTATGACAGACAAAATTCTGTATACAACCTTCCAATCATTTATCACAACTGTCATGCTACCAACACAGTCTCAACAATCATTAAAATCTAAAGACCTACAAATTCAAACACCATGTCAGTGTCATGAATGGTGGTAAGTCTGCACAGACTTGTCCTCTTCTGTTCATAATTCTCCCACAACCATCTGAAGCACTGTATCAGAAATCCATCAACAGGTAACACGCAAATGAGGATTTACTAGTCCAGGTTTTTCTGCTGCTGGCAAAGAAACTGTGAAACAATACCAACAGGTACACAACTCCCACTCCAGGCTACACTCTGGATGACTTACAGGTGGTATTCAAACCAGAGGTGACCTTTCATTAATGGTTTGCTGCTGCAAACTTATGCTTTCTCTACCTCCAGTTCTCCTGGTTAGAAAGCCTGAAAAGCTTCAAGAAGTGAAAACAATGAATCACCAGATTGAGAACTCTCATTCTAGCCTGGTGATGCTGTGATCTAGTCTATGCAGTGGAGGACAAACACACAGTACAATTTGCTTGTACTGTGAATCTATGCCAGCACTCAGTTCTGCTCCAGGCACATGTGTCAACACCTTAAAATGAAACACCCATCCGGATGGATCAGTACAGGCTTTCCGCTTAGGCCGTGGAAAGGGGTTACCAAACAAGTATACACCACAGCAGACAGAACTGCATTGTTAGTCAGTTATCCTGGTTATCCCACAAGCTCAGACCATGCTTAACTGGTTTGTAGGACTCTTCTTCACCAGAGAACCTTCCTGGGAGAGTGGGGGAAAGAGGGCAGGGAGGGGAACCACTAGCACAGCCTCCACTGCTCCATCCACAGTGTCAGTGCAGCTGGAAATGGTGCTGGAAAAACAGAACACGTAGTTCTGAGATCTATTTACACAACAGCTCCATGTTACCAAAAGCAAAACTGATGCGCTATGGATGAATAAAGGGCAAGGCATAAGTCTCAAGTATACTGCAGGCTATACACACAGAAACTGTGAGAAATAAGAAAGCTCTACCCTGAAAAAAGGGAATTTCAAAGCAGAATAGAAGAGCTTCCAGGTTCCTTTTTTTGAGGTAACAAGCCCTAGGTTGGAAGGTGCTGAAGAAGTGAAAGTAGTGACATACATTCAGAGCTCCTTAAAACAGGGACAACTTGACACAAGTCAGCTTGTCCATATTCTCATAGGACTGCAACAATTGAAAACTAAAACATGTGAACAGTGTCAAGATAACGTCTGCTTTGTTAACAGTGCTTGCAGATACAGGCTGCATTATTATTAAGTTTCTACAAGAGCAGTTCCGAAAGTAATGCCTTCTATTTTATTATCTTGGCCCTCAGCAGGCAAATGTTGATGACATAACAGTACAGGATGAACCTTCCCATCAATGTAATATTCCTTTACATGTTGTTGCTGTGTGACACATGGCAGCAGAGGGGCAGCCTGACAGAATGCTGTGTGACATGGAAATGCATGAGCGCATGTGGCACTGAATTCCTCCATTTGGAAAAAAGTGGTGCTCACTGACATTTACAGACACTTGCTGCACGTTTCTGGAGCCCAAGCAGTGGGAGTGAGCACAGTGAGGTGGTGGGTGCTGCATTTCAGCAGTGGTGACAGTGACAGCAAGGCACCTTCACTGTTTCATATGTTTATGAATGTGGCATGCAGGCTCTTGTTCATCACTGGCAAAAATGCAGAGCTACATGTGCTGACTACGTTGAAAAAAAAGTGTTTTGTAGCTAAGAGCATCCTCTATCAAACAGTACTATTGTGCTTTCTGTATCTGTTGTAGTTGCCACGGAAATAAATAGGAGGCAGTACTTTTGGAGCAACCTCTTCAGTACCTCAGGCTGAATCAAGGGGCACACAACTTCTGACAGATGGCGTCAAAGTAAAATGTAGAAGAAATTAAACAAGCTTATCTTCAGCAGATAAAGAAGCTATTATTTGGACACCCATACACGTTTGCACAGATTCTAAGAAAATAGTTACAATCATCAAAACGTAAAGAAGTTAAACAACTTAATAATCCCACCGCCACCGTTAAGGAAACAGGTCTCCGGGCCGTCAGCACCGGAGCCAGGCTTCCCGCCGACTCGCGAGCTGCCTGTTCGGCAGCGCTCCGCCCCGCACGGCGCTCCGTTTCGCTCGGCTCCCCGCACGCGGCTTAAGGCCAGCGGCCGGCGAGGCCCGGCACTCACTCAGCCCGTGCTGCCCTCTCCCTCCGCGCGCTCCCCCCTCGGCCGGCGGCACGCAGGGCGCGGCTCAGCCCGTCCCGGCCGGCGGAGCGAAGCGGCCCGCGGCGCACAGGGCTCCCCGGCCTCGCTCGCCGCCTCGCCGCCGGTGAGGCGAGGGGAGGCGAGGCGAGGCGAGGCGTGGCGGCGGCACCCCGGCCCTCCACGCGAGCTGCTCCGCAGCGCTGCCGCCGGGACCCCCTGCCGGCGCGGCCTCCTACCTGCGCCCCGGCAGCGCTCCGCGCCGACAACAGGAAGCGACCCCAAGCGCCGAGCCCCGAACTACGCTTCCCGGCGAGCCGCGCGGCACCGCCCCGCGCTGCCAGCCTGGGCCGGGGCTGCTGGAGGCGGGGAGGTGCTGCGTCGCGTCTCTCGCCTTCAATCTTCGCCTTTGCAAGTGCTGCGGCGATGCGGAGCCGCGCGCTTTGACATATTGTTCACAGCGATGCAAAACTGCAGCGTAGTCAGCACTTCAAAGGCACAGGCTGGAGCGCTGGCCTCCAGCGTTTCGGCTTGACTGGGCTGCATTCAGTGAAGACGAATTGTCTTGGCCACGTATATAATATACAATCTAGATAATGAATAGAAGTAACAAACTTACATATATATATTTATCTATTAAAAACTATTAAATACAGAGAGCAACGGAAAGGTAAAACAGGTGGGATATTTGACCTTGTTTTTGTAAAAGAATGGCAATAGTCTGGTTCCGCGGCAGTGGCTGGAGTTCTTAGTTCTCAAGGTGTTGTCAGAGATTTTTGATGAAGGGTTGCTCTTCCTGTGCTTCATCCTTGAAAATGGTTGTGCGCAAATGTACGTACTGCAAAAAAAGTATTGCAAAAAAGTGGTGACATGAATGAGGCCTGGTTGTGAAGTTGGGAATGTTTTCCTCTTGTAAGAGAGCACTTAACAAAAGTCTGGCAAAAAGACAAGATCAGATTTTTCTTTGAGATGAATATCTGATTGTATCTCTATATGTACCCTTTGAAAATTTGCAGGTAATGGATTTATGTTGACTGAAAATGGAGCCCAAAATACACCAAAAAATTGATGAGCTTTTTCTTTTTTTTAATCTTGAAACCTATTCTCAAATTCCGTTATCAGCACAAGAAGCACAGCTGCTTGTTTTTCACTCTTCACAGGATTGGGTCTAGCCAGTGCGTTTAAATGCATAACATCATTTGCCATAACTTGAGCTTGCTGTAATGAAAGTTTCATTTTGAAAGCTGTTATGGTCTGAAACATAGCATGAGTAAGATGATTTTCACACTGACAATGCATGTTTAACTCATTTCAGTGAGAGCTCCAATCCATCAAAAAAGCTAAATCTGTGAACCATTTTTCATGTTCAACTTCTGGCACAAATTTTTGTTTTGATTCCATACATGACTAGATTTCATTTTGCAAATCATGAAATCTATTGCCAAAACATGCAGTTTTAAATCAGCAGCTTTACTGCCCAAATTTGCACAAGCACATGTAATGCGAAAGAGTTCCTGTCCCACTGAACAGAGACAAAACAGGGGAGTTGGCCTCAACAAGCTGAGCGATATTGCTCAGCCCAAGCAGTGCCCTAACACTTTCCCCGTCTCCCACCTCACCCATTTTTTCATTGGAATCAAATACATGAAGTATAACAGCCTGGCGCCATCTCAGCTGCCATTAAGTAGCACGTGCTGCAACAAGATGTCTACCACACAGTCTGCTCTGAGTGGTGGGGGGACTCCAGTGCTACCAGCAACTGTGACACAGACATTGACACTGACCAAGGTCCATCGGATGCCAATGGTTCACACTGGGATGTTATCACAGAACCATGGAGGTTGGAAGGGACATCTGGGGGTCATCACATCCAAACACCTGTCAAAGTAGGTTCCCTAGAGTAGGTTGCTCAAGAACTGTTATAGAACTGTTATAGCACTGTTGCTCGCAGAAAATCACTAATTGGTAAGGTTAACTTTTTGGTTGTTGTTCCCAGTTAAACCAAGGTGGGAACACACCCTTTTTATAGTTGTACTGTAGGGATATTTATAGATCTTGCTAGGGAAAACTGAACTGTGTGCAAGGAAGATGGCCCTGACACAGCTTTCTCACATGAGAAAGCTATTTTGAAACAAGCTTAGCACATACCCCAATCTGTACTTCCTCAAACACAGCCCAAACCAATAGCAGGGCCAAGCAGCAGCACTGCTCCTTCAAGGAAACTGCTGCATAATCTGAATTTCAGACCACAGGAGGAAACGAGGCAGCAGACTAATGACTTGTCACCCTGACTCTCAGCTGTGTGCAATCAGAGCCGTTCCAAACTCTGCTTTCTGCAGACCTTCCCTCACTCTCATCTTTTGCACCTTTGACACTCTTATTATTCAAGTACTCTGTGGCTTTTGGTTATGTGAAGAATTTGGTCAGTCACAAGTTTGCCCACCTGCTATCGTTATTGGTTTGAAAAGCAATGGAAACACCACCTGCTGATGCTTTGATTGATTACAACCAAAACACACAAAAGCAGAGATGTGAGAAGAATTCGACATTTTGATGATATGAGAAACTAGTCCCACCCTCGAAATCCACCTTCTGCATCACATGCTATGAGAAACCCAAGTAGTTATAACCATAGCAGACATACCGCTTCTATTTCCTTATCTTCTTTGTCATTAACCACGCACCCTTGGAAGATTTTTGCTTGGAAAAAGGATTTATTGCAAGAACTGCAATTTGTTAACAAAGAAACATTAAATAAATGTGTAAATTCTCCTGCAGTCCCTTTTATTAAAGCACTACCTTTAGAAATGCCTTTAAAAAAGAGCGTTCAGTAGCTGCCTGCATTGCACTGCGCTGTCACCACTGTGCTTTCTATTCTGCGGCACACAGACTTCTGAGCAAAGCACGTATTCTGCCACACATCTGGGTAGTGCCTTGGAAAATGGGAACCCACATTCACTGAGGCCCTCCTCAGATGAGTTCTCCCTTTGAGAACAGCAAGGTCTCTTGGGTACCTTCTCATCTCCAAGCCAAATAAGCTGAGCTCCCTCAGCTTTCCTTCATGGAGAGGCTCCAGCCCTCTGATCATCACTGCAGCCCTCCTCTGGACCCGCTCCAGCAGCCCCTCGTGCTGGGGCTCTAGCCTGGACGTGGTACTGTACATGGGGCCTCACAATGGCAGAGCAGAGAGGGACAATCCTCTCCCTCAGCCATTAATTTTGCACGTGCTTAATTTTGTCCATATTTTTTGCAGCAGAATAGCCCATGTTAGTTGTTGTGTCACACAGCTGAATTCGCTAGGTCTCTGTGAAACAAAGGGTGCTCCAACAGCCACTGCAGCACATGAGGAGCCACGCAGGTGTTCCGATGCCTACAGGACAGAGAATGAACAGACACGCCCTGGGACAGCCGACCCGCACCGCCTATCTTCATCTTCTGCTCGCACTCCCCAAGTGCCCCGAAACAGAGACAGGAAAAGCACCACCCGCAGCCTCACCTCCTTCCCGCCCAACGGTATCGCCCAGGCCGCAGCCGCCCACTAGGAGCGCTAGCGGCACCTTCTCACCCCACCCTCACCACGCGCCCCTGGCGGTCCTGGCAGCTGCTGCGCATGCGCCGACTGACGATTCGCGCTCGCATTGGCTGGCGGTCGAAGCACGGCCGGGGCACGCGGTGGCGGCTATATAAGGCGTCTCGGGAGACAGCGCCATGTTATTTGGCGCGGAGAGTGAAAGCAGCGGGCTCGGGTAGGGGTGTGCGGCGCGCCTCGGAGCACCGGAACCGCAGCGGAGCTGGGTGAGGGGCAAGGGCAGTGCGTGCCGGGGAGGGGTGCGTGGCGTGTCCGCATCGCGAGAGCCGTCGGGATAGTGGCGTCTTGGTGAGGGGTGCTGCTAACCTGCTCCTGGTCCTGCAGGTGAGCTGCTGGCGTTCGCTATGGAAGAGGACTGGGACACGGAGCTTCTGGAGCAGGAGGCGGCGGCGGCTCCCCAGCGGCGTTCTGAGGAGCAGGCGTGGATTGTGAGTCGTGTCCAGGGCGGAGCGGCAGGGAGCGGGGCGCTTGGCTGGCCTAATCTGGGGAAGAGGAGGCCGAGGGGCCACCTCTGTGCTCCCTGGAGCTCCCCGAGTGCTGCGGTGTGCGGAGAAGGAGGTGCCGGGCTGTGCAGTGAGAGCCGAGGGCGCGGAGCTGACCGGGAGGGAACGGCTGTGCCTGAGGTGTCAGAGCCTGGCGTGGGCTGCACGGGGAGATGACGGTCTTGAGCCTAAATGACTCATATGCACTCTTGCTGTTTTATTACATGGCAGCTAAAAGCTTTGGTGTGAGGTAAAGGGTGAGATAGAGGAGTGTAATGAAAGACGGCTAAATAATATTTTACTATTTGTGGGATGAATGAATATCAGAAGAAACTGCTGTAAATTTCAGGAGGACCTGTTAGGAATGTTTGATAATTGGCATTGGTCTTACAGGTGTTACAAATGAGCTTTGAGGAATGGAGGGGTGAGGAGAGACAAATGGGTTATCCAAATGGATGCCAAGCTAAAAGTACAGTTGCCTAAAAGAGGAGTAGTAGCATGTAGTATCAGAATGATGATTTTGTTGGTTTGAGGTTAGTTTCCTGTAATGGTTGGTAGCCATAACAGGAAAAGTATTTCAATTGTAGTAAAATAAAGAAAGCATGATCTGGAAGTAAAAATGTTGGTAACTTTTTGATGTTCCCCTATCACTTGGTGCTTTGGCCTAGTAATACATCTCTAACCTGTATTAAGCAGGAGAAATTTAAACCCGGGCTTTGCTGGAAATAAAATTTTATAGTGGTACAATGTGAAAATTAGGTGCTATTCTGAACTGCTTTGGGTGGGGTATCTGAATCTTTGAATAAATTCAGAGACTGACATCTTTAAAATACTTAAGGATAATCTGTAAGCATGCTGTGGAGGAAGAACAGGAATGCAGTTGTGAAGCTGATGGAAATAGACTTATTCATTGTACTCATAGCCTGAAACCTTTCTAAGCCTAAATTGGAGGAAAAAAATACAGTAGAAGATTGCACTATTGCTTTGGGCAACAAATGTTTTTAATGAGCTTTAAATGTTTGTTAGCAAAGTGAGGTTGATGCTTCCACAAGTCTGACAGGAGGCAAGATAATCTTGTCTTCATAGTGTTTGTATATAACTTTCGGTGACATTTGTGTATGAACATTACGCACTTCAGTGTATTGAAGTTTAAGAAACTTTGAACAGAACTATTTGAAAGACTGTGCGCATGGGTACAGAAGGCACTTTATTTCAAATGGGAGACTTAGCAACTAAATGCACCTTCAGTTCACATATACTTTGCTTGGCCTGAAGGTAACATTGTGATGTCCCTTTTTTTCCCTGTAGGCTAACTCTGGCACGCCAAACAGCCCATCCCTCCGCTTCTCCAGCAGACCAAGCAGCCCCTTGTCTGGCTTCCCAGGCAGACCAAACAGTCCCTTCTTTGGCTTTAGTCAGAATAAAGGCTCACTCGGTATGCAAAAACTACTTAAGATTTTACTGATATTTGGGGAAGCTGATGACTTGAAAAGTTTAGAAGATGTAACATGGTACTATTCTTGTTCTTTAGTGTTTTCATGTGCCCCCATGCGATAAGCAGCAACAAATTGTACAAATAATATAAGGAGTAAGTTTGACTTATATTCCTCACTCCTTTGTTTGTTGGTGATGAATACATTGTATAATTTGAAGTGAATGGATGATAGCGGGGTAATCATTTCCACAACTACTTGTGACAAGTAGTGTTGAAAATCAATAAATACTACGTGCAGTGTTGAGCAGACCTAAACTTCCTGACAATTTTAATGAAAATAAAAAAAAGTTGCAGGATGCTGTTGAAACATTAAAAAACAAAACAAACAAACAAAAAGGAAAAAAAAAAAAAAAAAAAAATTAAGACCTTGCATTGATGTAATTTTCATTTTGTAAGTTTCCATAAAGTACTCTTAGTTTCATGAAGATTATGCCTTTTTAAACTTGAACAGACGTTTTAGTTATAATAGGCCATGCTGATGTTGCTAGAAGCAGTTTGTCCAGCACTTGGAGTGATGGTACAATAGCCAGATAAGGAAACAGATTTTGCTTAAAACTGACAGAAGGTAGAATAGGGCAGACAAGGAGTTCTCGCTGGTTTTTATTCTTAGGAATGATCTTTGCTGCAACTGCATGTGAGTATTTTAACTTAAGTGAAATTGTCTGAAATAAATAGTTCATGTTTAGTTCAAACATCTGTGGAAGAGCAACCTAAACTATTTTAACATGTCATGTTTAGCACAGATTAGATTCATTTTTTAATGAGCAGTTAGAACAAGGCAAGTTGATGTGTCATTCTACCTCTCGGTGTGCAGGTAAAAAGGAGATATTTTCTTTTTACCTAATTACTTATTTACAAGATGTTGGAAAATTAGGATGGGCAAGACCCGGAAGTCAGTTCTGTTACTTGAACTGTTAGAAGCTGAGAATTCGGAGAACAGGTATTGATGGTTTTTTGTTAACTCCCCTGAAAGGGCTGGATAAACCTTTATCTCTTTTGAAAACTTTTAACTTACGGTTAACATATTGTACTTCAGCTGATGTTTAAAAAAAGTGTGCAGACTTGCAGAGGGTACACTCTGTCCCTTGATCCAAGACTTCATTGAAGATGGTAAACTCTTTTGGCTCCATTAACAGACTCTGGGGTATTCTATGGTTGATCTCCGGCTGGAGTTTATGCTATTGATTGCAACCTTTGGGGCCCAGAAGTTCTCCTTAGTTTCCAATTGTGTATGGTGAATTTTATTGGTTTGTGTGTGAGAATGCTATGGGAGACAATATCAAAAGCTTTGTTTATTTATCTTCCAGGTGCTAATGAAGGACCTAGCAGGAATCTGCATATGCAGCGTGACATTGGAGGTTATTCTGGGAGCAGAGGTAGGATTGTGCAGTTAAAATTTGTAGTTTTGGGGATTATTAAGCCTTGCTTTTGGATAAAACATTAGGACTGGCAGCCTTATTACTGGTACCTTAATAGATACTGAGATGTGTGTTGATAGCAAAACTGTTGCTGAAGTGATGCTGTTCTGTTTTGGAAGGCAGCTGTATGTGTCCCTGGTGTTGCTGTTTAAGGGCACCCTGTTGCATCATGTAGTAGTTTCTTACTGTTCCAAATTCAGCAGGAGTTTACTTGCCAGTATAGTGTGCTGACCTTGTTCATGCTGTCAGCTGAGTTTTAATGTGCTTTATTATATATGGATTTAGCTGAATACTGGAATAAATTTTGTTTCTTATTTCCTTCATTAATGTGCTACTGTAGGTGTTAAACAATGAAATTGATTGCTGTGGTTTACCTTAATTTCACAGACTGTGAATTAAAGGTGACTGTGCACCAGTCACCTAAGCATCCTCTAGCCGCTTCTCAACTTGATCCAGCTTTGAAATGCAGTTTTTTTGCTGTGGGTTTTCCTTCCCCTCTTGGGAGCCCAGATTACATACAGTCGACTGATATCACTCCAGATTCTCAAGATCCTTGAGAAAAAAATGAGAGAGATCTCAATGTAGAGATCTCTCTTGATGGCATTATCCAGCCCTCTGAATACTCTGGGATGAAACCCATTGGGCCCAATAAACTTATCTGAATCCAGGTGGAGTAGCAAATCCTGTACAAGTTTGGGTTTGGCTAAGTAGTTGGCTGAGGACCATGACCTCCAACTTGGGGCATCTGGGGTCCCTGAGTTTGTAATCAGTGTTGAAGGCAGTGGCAAAGAAGGCACTAAACGTCTCTTGCTTTGTCTGTTGTCTTGTTGCGAGATGACCATTCTCATCAAGAAGAAACCAATGTTCTCTGTGGTTCTCCTTTTGTTGTTAATGTATTTTAAAAAAACCCTTTTTTGTTGTTTACCACAGAATTGACCAGCTTCAACTTCTAAAAGCTTTGGCTGTACAAATTTTTTCCCTGCAAATGTGAATGTCATCCCTGTAGTCATCACATGTGGCTTGACCTTGCTTCCAGCAGCTGTGTGGTTTCTTTTTCTACCTCAGCTTTAGAAGAAGATTCCTGTTGATAAGCTGACCTTCTGCCCCACCTACTTGATTTCTGCATTGTGGATTTCCCTGGTTCCTGTGCACTTAGGAGGTGCTACCTAGAGTAGGCAGTGCTGACACACTAGTGCCTTCAAAAGGCGTTTCCCAGGGGACATTAATAACTAGTTCCCTCCTTATATTCAGGGTTGAGGTTTTGGTGGCCATTTTCCTGCTATCACAAAAGATTTTTATTTGAATGCTTCCTGGTCTCTATGGCCAAGATGACTACCATTTGTCACTTCACCTATGAGGCTTTCTCTGTTCATGAGGAACAGATCTCGGAAGACAACTTTCTTTGTTGTTTTCCTTTCCTTTCCCATAGTACCTGTGCCTGTACCAGCAAGTTTTCATTAGGGTGTTTTAGGAATCTCCTGAATCTGTTTACATCACCTGTGTGATGTTTCCAGTTTAAGTTTGTCAATTAAGTGCTTCGTAAAGACAAAGGCAATTGAGCTTGAAGTCTCTCTGGGTTCCTTAAAGAGTAGTAAATCAGTGCCATTGTCCTGGCCTTGTGGTCTATGGTAGACTCCCCCAGTGACATCTCCTTTGTTTTCATGCCCCTTAATCCTTACCTAGAGGCTGTCAACCAAGTTGTTGACAAGTGTCAGCTCCGTACAGTCCAGCCTCTGCACAACAAAGTGCCACTGTTCTGCTCTGCCCAACTCTTCTGAAAAGTGTGTTACCATCCATCACACTATTCACGGGGCTGGTTTCACGTACAGCAGTGATGATATAGCTCTGGACTGAGGCAAGCCTTCTTGCTGCTCTTGCTTATTTCTCATGGTGTGTGCATTGGTTTAGAAGTGTTTCAGATGTGTTTTGTACCGAGCACCTCATAAAGCAAACTGAAGGATCTCAGTAGCACACAGCCACTCTGATTGCAGCATGCCATTCAGTAGTTTATCACCAGCAGTGTAGGTGAACTTTAGCTGGGCCATTGGTCTCACCCTCAACTGTCCCAGGCTTATCTGTAGTGAGCCTGGTTTTATTTTCTTCCCCCCTTTATATTTAGTTTAAAGCCCTCTTAACAAGCCCTGCCAACTCCTGGGCTAGAATCCTTTCCCCCTTTGAGACAGGTGAACCCTGTCTTTAGTCAGCAGGCCTGACGCTGTGTAAACCACTCCATAACTGGGGGGAAAAAAAAATCCTTTGATGGCATGAGCCTCTTAGCCATATGTTGATCATGTTGGTTTTCCTATTCTTCTCAGTATTCTTTTCTGCTACTAAAGGAGTTGAGGAAAACACCACCTGAGTTCTACTCCTTCAGCTAACTACCCTAAGGTCCCTTTTGACAGCCCTTGGGCTTCTCCCATCGATTTTGTTGCTGCCAACCTGAGCTACTAGAAGCAGATAATAACCAGAAGGCTATGCAAGTCCAGGGTGCTTCCTAGCAATGTCCCTGACCAGGGCATCAGGGAGGCAGCAGAAGCAGAAGGGCTTTGGGCTGGCCATTCAACAGCCTTCCTTTGCCTATGAGATTATTGAGAATGTGCATCTAGGTTCTTTATTGACATGCAAAATGAGGAAAAAGGTAAACAGACACAAGTTAGAATAAAAGATTGTTGGACTTTTTGTAATTTCTGTGAGGGCATTCCAGCATTGGAAGAGGTTTTTAGAGAGGTTGTTCTGTCTCCATTCTGAGAGGTTTTTAAGATCTGCCTGAACAAAGTTCTGAGCACCATGGTGAAAATTGGATGTTGATTCTGTCTGAGTGGGAGACTAGATCAAAGATCTGAGGTCCTATTCATCCTGAATGATTCTGTAATTTTAACGTGGAGTTCACTTAACAAAACAGAACAGCCAACTACCCTAAGGTCAAAAATGATTTTGATTGTTGTTTTATTTTCCTATCTGTAGATTCTGTTCTACGTCAGAACAGAGAAGATCAACCAGTGACTGGATTTGGTAGAGGGAGGAGTTCTGGAGGCAGAGGTAACTTCCTGCAGTGTTTTGTTCTTTATTTGATAATTGTTTTCCTTATTTCTACACTCAGTTTCGTTGTATCAGATCCATGAAGAGTGTTTATGACTTGAGGGCTAATACTAACACTTGTGAAAATAACTCTAAACCTGTATTTGAGGTCTGTAATACTTAAGAATGTTTATACTTAGCCTATCCCCTTCAAAATGCAATTTTTGTTTTGCCTTTGGAATCAAATGATGGCCCATTTATGAGTCAGTGTTCACCAAGCATTGGTGAAGGAGCTACAGACATTGTAGGAGAACTTGGTCTCGTAGCAGAATGTGATCAGCTAAACACCACAGAATTTCCCTCACTCTCCCATCTCCAGTGGGATGGAGAAGAGAATTGGAGAAAAAAAAAAGTAGAATTCATAGGTTGAGATTAAAACTGATTACTAAGACACAGGACAAAGAGAGAAATAATAGTAAGGATAGTAATGCATAAATATTTGTACAAAAGAGATGCACAGTGTGATTGATCACCACCTGCTGACTAATGCCCAGCCAATCCCAGAGCAGTAGCTGCTCCCCTGGCCAGCTCTTCTCAGTTTTGTTTGTTTTTCACATGATGTCATGTAATATGTAATATCCCTTTGGCCAGTTGAAGTTAGCTGTTCATGTTCCGACCGTCCCAGTTCCTTGTTCTTGAGTCCTCTGGTTGGTGAGACAACAGGACAAGCTGAAAAGCTGAAATATCCTTGTCTCTATGCAGCACTGCTCAGCAATAACTAAAACATCAATCAGTGTGTTACCAGAGAATTTTTCCTCCCGAAGACATAGTGTCATACCAGACACTATGAAGAAAATAAACTGTCTCTACTGAAACCAGCATAATGATCTTAGTCACTGCAAAATGGCAGAACAAATGTTCAGTTGTAAAGATTAACAGGTAAATAGTAATAGATGTGTAGTACATTAAAATGGCATGATAGAAACTTCTGAAAGTTTCTCACTTTTGTTCTGGCTTACACTAATAGAAGCGGGCTTTACGTGACACAGTCTAGTTTAACTTCTATGAACTGTAAAGTGTTTTGTTCCTACTGGATTTCTAAAAGCCAGAAATACACTGTGTCCACACAGTGAATGTGAGGCTTATTGGTAATCTGGGTTAATGTGAGCATGAAGGAATGTGAGGAAATAGAATACTAATGTGAGGCAGCAGGTAGAAACTGCAGTGCTATCTCACGATAGTTCTGCTCGTGAGAATGGAGTAGGCCAGTTTTCCTGTGGATTGAACAAAAGAGTGAAGACTTGATCTTAGATTCAAGTTAGATTCAAATCCTTCATTCTGGTAGGATTCAATACAAGAGGGCAGTAGACTTTCTTTGTGTTTTTTAGGGGAAAAAAATATATCATTTTTCATGTTTGGGCAAATCATATAGCTTTGTTATTTTCAATAAAAAACACAAGTAAAGCAAGGACTTCACAGGATAATCAAATAAAGGTCACTTGATGTGTAGGTGCAAAATTGGACAAACTAAAGTGTTGTGTGTCATGATGCAGATTTTCAAGAGAGGAACTCCACAGATGATCCTGGTGTGCAAGAACAAGGTTTTAGAGGCGTTCCTGGCATCTTTGGGCAAAGCAAGTGTAAGTTTTTTATTGATTGGTTTGTGTGGGTCTGTACCTTAGGTCATTCTTTTTGATTTGACTGCTCTTTGAGAGCTAAAAGTATAAAGTTATGAAATAGCTTTATTTTTTCAGGTGTGTTGGGGTACCTTCTTTGCAAGTTCGTATCACTGGGAATAATACAGAATAGGTAAAAATTATGAAGAATCTCTTAGGGGTATTGCATAGTGGATTTTGTCATAATAGTATCAGGGATTTATCCTCACAAGGGGAAGCGGAGGTGCTGGTGCTGACCAGTGAAAGCAGCAGGACCCAATGGAACAGTATGGAGCTGTGTTGGGATGGTCAGGTTGGGTGTTAGGAAAAGGCTCTGTGTCAGAGGTTGGGTACTGAGGCACTGGAGCAGGCTCCCCAGGGCAGTGGTCATGGCACAAAACTGCTGGAGTTCAAGGAGCATTTGACAGTCAAATCAAAGGATTGGAATTTTGGGTAATCCTGTGTGGAGGCAGGGGATTTGATCCTTGTGAGTTCCTTCCAGCTCTGTTCCTTCTGTGGTTCTGTAATGCTAGCATTGGGCATAATGCTTTATAAAAATAATTTTAGGTGTCTACCTTGCTATGCTTTGTATTTCTTACAGGTTTTAACAATGAGGTAAGAAACAGTCCTTTGCGTGGCAGCCCTTTTGCCCCAGGAGTAAGAGGAGCAGTTGGAGGTTCTGCAGGTGAGATGTTATTACAGCATGATTTGTGTCTTGGATTTTCTCATTTCTGATGTGTAGCAAAGCAGTACTGTCAGAGCTTTGGTAAATGATGTTAGTTTAGTTTTTCCCCCACTGGAAATTAAAGACCTATTGCAACAGTTAGATGGCTTGTTTTCATGCTGTTCAGAATCAGAATTTTACTCAACTAATTTAGCACTGATGTAGGAATTATTAGTACTTTTATGATGAATCACAAAGTTAGGTTGTGTGATTCTTAGTAGCACTTGATCAGCACTTAATTGTTGGTCAATTTAAAGTAGTGGTTCAGCAGTTTACTACAGTCAAATTCAGCAACTTAGTGGAAGTTTCAAGAGTGGCAAGGTTCACATGAGGTTTACAGTAGGGTGGTGGAGGGGGAGATTTCTAAACTTAGTGATGTACTTGAGGGTTTTCTTTGTGCCCCAGCAGGTTATTCACCCTTCCTTTTTGTTGACTCTCAGCAGATGGCTCGGGCATGTCCCAAAGACAGGTTTTCTTTGCTACTCAAAATCTTTCCCATGCGTGCTACGCTATGTTCATTTCCTACATAATGAAATGTCTTCATTGTCCTTACCATTTTTCTCAGGTTCATTCTGTCTTTTGCTAGAATGACTGTAGATAATGACCTTCCAGACTGTGTGTTTAAAAAAAAAAAAAAAAAAAAGTTTAGGTTCTTCCCCTTCAGCATTAGAATATCTATCTGCCCAGCCCCTCTTCCCCATCAATACTCTGGTTCACAAAAATTTGTCAGGAAATATTTTCCAAGACAAACCCTTGTCTTAAAAGGATCACATATGGGCTAAATATATTCTCTGACATCTGAGATGTGTTTATCCCTCAAATACATTCTACGTCCAATTTGAAAATCCATGTATAGTATGTAAAATATTAAGAAGGGCATATACATGTAGCAAAAATAGGAATGAAGCAGCTGTCTTTTCTATCATATGTTAACAAAATATCTGCAAGCACTTATCTCTGTGTGTGTGGGGAGGCGAGGGCTGAGTGTCAGTAGATCACAGTGAAACAGCTGCTTTGCTGTGTACAGAATGCTAACTGAGAATCAAGTCTTCTAAAATCATTTAGTACAAGTTCCTCGGAATATGTGGCATGCAGCATTCTGAGTATTCTTAATTACATATTTTCCTGCAATTTCCATTAGGTAGACATACCATTTTCAAACAGATTACCTGCAGCTCTTTGTAGGGAAGCAATCCCTTTTGGGCTTGCTTCTTGTAAATTAAAAAATCTTGCAGCTTACACAGATTGTCCCTGAGTGTTTAATCAACTTGCTTAGCTGGTTGAACTAAGGATAGAAGTCCATTTTTTCCATTCATAATATCACTGTTCAGTTTCTTAAAATGCAGCTAAGCTGCACAATAAGTAGTCATGCTGCTGTTTCTTCCCTGGCTTTTTTGGGGGGAAGTTTGTTTAATTACAGTGTTACTAGTACAATTTTACAATCTTTAGGAGATGAAACCATAGAAGTTTAGCATGTACAGTGTAAGTAATTGTGTGTGAGAAACATGAATTATTGTTTTCCAAATCCTCTGTAACTTCAGAAATTCTACCACCTGCTGCAGCAGAAGTTGGGTATTCTGGTATGTTAGTAAGTTCTGAGTTAAAAGAACATAAGGGCTGTGCAGAATTCAGCAGGTGTGCCCAACTGTTGAGCTACGTGTGGCCCAGCTGGGTTCTCACTGCAACCTGTGCCCCCTGCCACTACCTCACATTTTATGGTTTGTTGATAGATGAAAATAATGATGCTACAAATATGGGTTGACTTGTAATTTCCGTAGAGAAATTAATAATGAATATAATACTACTGAAGAAATGGCTTCTTTGGTGTCACTGAAAAATACAACTAGGTCTCTTGGAGTTTTTTTATTGCTTCATACAATACATTAAAGCGATTTTATTTAACCTTTGCCAGGGAATCACTACTGATGATGCCCTGGTGATGGTTGGCTAAAAAATAAAAATAAAAGAGGAATTTATAAAGTAATAGAACATGATGCAGTTTCTATGGTAATACATGCATGATGAAATATTACTGCATCAGACATTAGGAAAATCTATGTGCAAAAACTTTGGAAAAGGATAATGTTATGCAAATTGTCGTCAAAGCCATGAATTTTATAAAGTCTAAAGGAGTGAATAATTGCCAATTCCAAGAGTTCCTTAAAAGTATGGATGATGATTATGGGGTTGTCATTCACTTTTTTGAAGAAAGGTGATTAAGTTGGGGGAAAATGCTAAAAAAGACTTTACAGAGTGAAATCAAGTCATCTATGGAATTGAAAGGAAAATTTGTACCAGGATGTGAAGATTAAAAATGACTAGCAAATAAATCTAGCATTTTTTTGTGGATTTGACTGCTCATTTAAGTGAGTTAAGCATCCACCTTCAAGATGAAAATCATCTGTGGTGTGTTTCAGACAGTAACAGTGTTTGAAACGAAACTTTAAGTATGGCAAGCTCAAGTTGTGGCAAATAAGCATTTAGATACATTGGCTAAACGCAGTTCTGTCATCAGTGAAGAATATGCAGGTGTGCTTTCCATTTTGATAAAGAAATTCTAGAGTATGTTTCAAGATTTCAAGAAAACCATTTTTTTTGTATGTTTAAACTTTCATGATTAAATTTTCAATGCTTCACTTAAACTCAATCTGCCAATCATACCAGAATGTGCTGCTTGGTTTTCAGAGTGTTTTTTGGGTACTTTTTTCATTGAGGTCCTTATTTAAAAGTTCTCTTAGGAGTTCTTTCTTCTAAAACAAGCTAACTTTGGACTGCTTCATTTAGCAGAAGTTCACAAAGGTCGCAATGAAGAAATTGATTCTGGAAGAGGTAAGCAGCTTCATAAGTAACATGTCAATTTTAATTTGCTTTTGACTCAGCAATTTCTTAAGATTACTGCAATTCAGTTCATAAAACAGAAGGTAGTGATTTGTGTAAATTTATAACTCTTTGAACTGTGTAATGTGAATTGTTAAGCATGTCCTGTTAACTCTGCTTAAAATGTGTTCATCTTTAGATTTCGGAGCAATATTGTCATTGTTCTCAGCTTAATAAATGTGATTAGGTTTGGAATGAACTGCTGTGGAATTCCTCTTTGGAATGATTTTCTCTTCTTTCTGCTGGTAATTGTTGTGTACCTGAGACGCAGCTATTAGAAATTAATTGGCTAGCACATGTAAGTGGTGATTACAGTTACAGAAAAATGCTAGGGAAGCAGTAGGTTATTCATTTAAGATGTCAGTTTTGTAGTGCTATGTACAGAAGACAGACTTGATGTGTTTTACTGAGTTAAGATTGGTAAATAGAATATCATTATTTCTATGTGCAAGAAATCATGTTGAAATGTTTAATGGATAACAACTTCCTAGCATGTACTGAATATATCAGCCTATCAGGATGTTTGTTTATCTTGATTCTGTTTGCAGGAGAATTTGGCATTATTTGGCTTTTTGTAGTTCTGAAATGCAAAAGGATAAATAATGAATACCTTAATTTTGTGTGAATAATTTTGGTTTATAATTGTTCCTTATTTGAGGTTTGTGTGGAAAACTCTTCTGTTGCAAAACTTTTAGTGAACATGAAATAATTCATTTTTACATCTGAGTTTATTAGCTTGAAAGGACCCTTACAGAATGCTGAAGTATAAATGAACTACCAGGGACAAATGAATTATATTTTTAATATTAATAATTTCATTGCTGGAAGGTAGAGACAATTTACAGTATCACAAATTTTTGTAGTAGTTGTGTAGGAACTAATATACTTTTTGTTAGTATCTGTTCGAAGTAAGATTCCTGAGCAAATGTGAGCATGCACTATAAAATGGCTTTACAAAAGTCTTGTTTTATCTGCAGGCGAGTTTTGGGTCTTGCAGTATAAAGCTAAGTTTTAGTAGGATTCATTTATGAAGTATCTTTGTCTCCTATAAGGTGAAGGAAAGTATTAATGACTTCAGTAGTGCGATACTTAGAACAGTCTTAATTTTCTTTACGCGGTTTATTCTTGTGTTCTTAAGGTCCAAAGGTGACCTACGTGCCCCCTCCGCCTCCTGATGATGAGCAGTCCATCTTTGCATGTTACCAGTCAGGAATTAATTTTGACAAGTATGATGAATGCGCTGTTGAGATGTCAGGACTTGACCCTCCAACACCATTACTGGTCAGTGAACATTTTATTCTCAAGTATTGAGTGTGATTCTGTGGTTTTTCTGTTTGTTTATGTTTAAAAAGTAATATGCAATTTTGCTTCCACATAACACAAGGTGGCTAGCTTTTCTAAAGAAAGGGAAAGGGTCATCTTCCTTCTAGGAGGAGGGACAAGGGCAGAGGGAGGGGAGGTAGGAGAAGAGAGTGGGGGGCAGGTGATATGGGAAGCGATAGTGTGTTTGAGTGTATTTTCTCTGTACGGTGCTTTTTGCTCCTGGATACGGATGTTGCTTTAGCTCTCTAGTGGTTTTAGCAGAGTAAATCTAGTACAGGAAACAAAGCAGAGGAGTTGTGGTCCAGCTTCGTAGTATACCACAGTGTACATTTCCTGCTTGAATCCAGATGTTGTATATAGCTTCAATTTGGTTTTCTGTGTGTTAGTAAGACCAGTTGAAGTCCTTCACTGCTGTACAGACAACAATACTTGAAGACCGTGAGTAGCTTGGGGAATACTTTGAGGCTTCTACTGTTAGGAACTTTGGTATCTAGTTTACCAGTGAGGCCCATCTTCAGAGTTGTTTTTCTTAATGTCTGTGTACTACTGTACAGATACAGTAAGTATCTCATTTTTTAAACATGCGTGGTTGTGTACCGTACAGTACATTGTTTTATTTTCCTCTTGCAGGCTTTTGAAGAAGCTAACTTCTCTCAGACTTTAAGGAAGAATATATCTAAAACTGGATATTCAAAACTTACTCCAGTGCAGAAGTACAGCATTCCTGTTATACAGGCAGGGCGGGATTTAATGTCGTGTGCCCAGACAGGATCAGGAAAAACAGTAAGCGTTTTCTGTAGCATTCGTTCATATTGTGCATTCATGTCTTTGAAGTTTTAGGTGGATGCCTTGGACTTAAAAAAAATACTTACTAACAAAAAAATGCTTATTTTGCTCATTTCAGTACAAGACAAACTATTTGACAAGTGTATCATTAAGCATAGAAAAGAAAAGAGTCATTCTCAGTTTAATTTATTGAGTACTTCACTAAACTAATTACTAGACCAGTCATTGACAACATACAAAAACTGAAGCAGATGTGTAGGCCATTGTGGAAACTGTTTATTAGGAAGATAGCAGTATGTTGAGAGGGACTTTTTTTATTTTTTAAACTTATGCTGGATTTCTATAGTATGTTGTCCTTGTTTGCTGTCCTCAGTGTGACCAAATCTGATTTGCACCAGGCTTAGTTTTAACTGGTTCATTATAATGATAAAGAAACTAGAGTTAAGAAGCTGACAGTTGTCTCAACTTGTTTAACTGTTTAATGTATACAAATCTAACCACAGACAGCTCTGTATATCTGGCTATTAAACATAGTGTTTTGAATTTTAGCTCTGTATATCTGGCTATTAAACATAGTATTTTGAATTTTAGCGTTGTGTGGAATTCCAGCTTTGATATATATGTTGTTAGTTACTGTTTTGAAAAATGCGTCTTCTGTTTGTGGAAGGGAGAAGCTGAAATGTGCAAAAACCTTAAGTTACAAATACTCAGTGCTTTTTTGAGAGGCTACAAAGCTTATATTTTGGGTGTAAATAGACTTATTTGGAAGCAAGAGTACTGATACAGATGACTCAAACTGGTCTGCTGTTGTAGTAATCCAGAGACTGATAACATGTTATTAACTTACAGATCTGCTGATGATCATAGAAAGCTTCTAAGTATGTGTCTTAAGACAGTATTTGATCCTAGGGTGCTTAATTTGTACCCTGTGTCAGGATGATGTGCAGAACTCAGGAATAAGGTAGTGTGTGGTGGTGTTCCTGCAGTATTGGAATCTTAAGGATGAGAGAAATGTTTTCATGCTTTTTAAGCAGGGAAGAAGTTTTGACCACCTGTGATGTGTTGAGCTCAATCCTTTTGCAGTGTTTTTCCTGAAGTTTGCGGTATGCTGTATCATTCTATCTTTAAGATTGATACACAGCTTTAGCATGACCAATCAATGCTTTAAGTCCAAACAACATATCAATGCTTGTTTTAGGCAGCTTTTCTTCTACCAATTGTGGACCAGATGATGAAAGATGGCATAACTGCAAGTGTCTTCCAAAAGCAGCAAGAACCACAATGCATTATTGTTGCGCCAACTAGAGAACTCATAAATCAGATCTTCTTAGAAGCAAGGAAGTTTGTGTACGGGTAAGCTTCTGTACTTGCTTTTCACTTAGTCAGAAATAATTCTTTCTCCACAAACTCCCAAAATTTTCTGTGTCAATCAAATAACTGTGGTAATGCTGGTTAGCAAGTTGATTACTATATTGGGTTTTATATATTTAATGTATTTTATATTTGGATGTATTTTTAACTATATCAGAAGGACATTGAGGTCCTGGAGCATGTCCAAAGAATGCTCACCAACAAAGCTGGTGAGGGTTCTGGAGTGTAAGTCTTAAGAGAAGTCATTGAGGGAACTGAGACTGAGTCTGGAGAAGAGAAGGCTCAGGAGCTACCTTATTGCCCTCTACAACTACCTGAAAGGAGGGTGTGGTGAGGTGGAGCTTGGCCTCTGGTGGAGCTTTTCCAGGTGGCTAGCAATAGCAATAGATAGGTGAATAGCAATAGCATAAGAGGTAATGGCCTTAAATTAGTTTAGCTTAGTTTTATCTGTTTGAACCTTGTTATTTATGAAGCTAAATTAATATCTTAAGGAATGAAGAGTTAAAATTCAAATATGAAAATGCTTTCTGTATGCATGTAGAAGCTTTTAACAGAAGGCTGCGTAAGGTAGTTCTTGTTAATTTATGTGCTTTTTATACAGAGGATCTGATTTAGCTTCACTTGGTAGATGGAACCAAAAATCTCAGTTGGGAGAGTGCTAAATTCATGTACTAACTCATGCCTAACCAGTCTGGTGGCCTTATATGGTGGAGTGATGACAAGGGAAAGGCAACCAATGTCACTTACCTGGACTTGAGCAAGGCCACTACATTCTTATCTCCAAATTGGAGGGATGTGGATTTGATAAGTGGACCACTCAATGGGTAAGAAATTGGCTGGGAGGCCGCAGACAAAGGATGGTCATCGATGGCTCCATGTCCAGGTGGGGGCCGGTAACGAGCGGCGTCCTCCAGGGGTCTGTCTTGGGACCGGTGCTCTTTAACATCTTCATCAGTGATGGAATCGAGTGCACCCTCAGCAAGTTTGGGATGACACCAAGCTGAGTGGTGTGGTTGACAGTGGAAGGAAGGCATGCCATTCAGAGGGACCTCAACGGGCTGGAAAGGTGGGCCCGGGTGAACCTGATGAGGTTCAACACAGCAAAGTGCAGAGTTTTGCACTTGGGCCGGAGGAATCCCAGGCATCCATGCAGACTGGAAGGAGCAGTACTTGAGAGCAGCCCTGTGGAGGAGGACCTGGGGGTCCTGATGGATGATAACCTTCACATGAGCCAGCAGTGTGCTCTGCAGCTCAGCAAATGGTATCCTGGGCTCCATCAGAAGAGGGGTGGCCAGCAGGGGCAGGGGGGTGATTGTCCCCCTCTACTCTGCTCTTGTGAGGCCTCATCTGGAGTACTGTGTCCAGGTCTGGAGCCCCGAATACAAGAAAGACAGGAAGCTGTTGGAGAGGTTCCAGAGGAGAGCCATGATGATAATCAGGGAACTGGAGCACCTCCCCTACAAAAACATGCTGAGGGAGCTGGGCTTGTTCAGCCTGGAGTAATGTTACTGCCTGGAGATGTCGCTGGCTGCGGAGTGACATCATTGCAGTATTTCAGTTCCTAAAGGGAGCCTACCAGTAGGAGGGGAATCAACTCTTTGAAATTGTAGATAACAACAGGACAAGGGGAAATGGTTTTAAGCTGAGGAGGGAAGATTGAGGTTGGGATGTCAGGGGGAAGTACAGAGAGAATGGTGAGGTGCTGGAACAGGCTGCCCAGAGAGGTTGTGGATGCCCCATCCCTGGAGGTCAAGGGCAGGTTGGATAGGGCCCTGGGCAGCCTGATCTAGTATTAAATGGAGAGGTTGGTGGCCCTGCATGTGGCATGAGGGTTGGAGATAGATGATCCTTGGGGGCCCTTCCAACTCTGGCCATTCTGTAAATTGTTTCAGTGTCAGAGCACATTTGCAGCTTAATGCTTGAGTGCTTAAAACATTCTTTGCTTTTCAAAAATTTCCCCTTATAAATGTGCTGCACTGTCCCTTTGGTGTGTGAAGCTGTAGTACTGTATTTTCCGACTTCTCTTTTTTGCTGCTGAGCCTTCAATATAAAGGGATCTGAGTATAACACTTTCAGTTCTTACTGCTGTGTTGTACTTCAATTGAAGGGAGGGGGAAGAATGCATTTGAGATGATGTTCCTTCCTGTTCTTTGCTGTGCGCCCTCTAATATGTAGTCTGAATGGGAGCCTTGAGCCTTACAGTGATGGGAATTGTGGCCTTGGATTCTGTTATTTGTTATACACACACTATTATATGATATAAAGGAATTAAAGCACTCAAATTGGTTTGTGATAAATTTGACAATTTAATATTTGCATATTATATAAATATATTATTTGCATATATTATATACGTATTTTCATGTAATGATACAGCTTACCTTATTAGATAATTAATCCATTTTTTTTCTGTACAACAGGACCTGTATAAGGCCTGTTGTGATCTATGGAGGCACACAAACAGGTCATTCAATACGTCAGATAATGCAAGGCTGTAATATATTATGTGCCACTCCTGGAAGGCTTCTAGACATTATTGAAAAAGGGAAGGTAAGCTTCTAAAACTTAGTCTGAATTTTCTTAAGCCCTTTTAGCCTTATACATACTGGTGTTCATTATTCAAATTTATTAGAAGCAAAAATGAAGCCATGAAGACCAGTCAGTATGCTGCCTTTGAACATGCCCTTGAAATGCACGTGAGCTTTTCTTGGAGTTGCTGAATACCATGATGTTTTTGAAATTGTGGTGCGTCCAGTCTTTTCAGTCCTTATGGGTCACACTGAGAATACCATTTTTAGATCAAATTGGCTGTAATGTTCTTGGCAATTTAATTTTACAGTTAAATAAATGGAATGTTTTGTCTTAGCTTTCACAGAAAATCCCATAACACATTTTCTCTTTATGTCCTATTCTCTTTGCTGCAATAGCTTTTATGTGTGGGATTGTGCTAACATTAATTCTTTGAACTTTTCAATGCTAATTTATTCAAAATGTAATAAATTCCAGATGTAATATTAAAGTTTTTATTTTTCTAGACATTATAAATTCAAATTGAAATTGCTATGTATTGGAATGGTGTCTCAGCAATGTTGTGCTGGACAAATAAGTTTTGCAGAAATACTTTGTTGGTAATAAACTGAAGATTGGCTTTTTGGTAGTTGGGCTTCTAGTCACAGTCTTCATCAGCAGTACGTACTTACAGTGTTATCCTTCACATGCTTTCTGACAGGTACTTTTTAAAGACCAAGCAGTTTTTGAGATAGTGTTAGGATTATATGAGAAAATCTTTCTAAAACTTGGACGTGATTTCAAACCAGTTGTGCAGTTGTGCTGAGTAACAGTTGACCTACAGTAGGCTCCGTCTTTATTGGCATTGTGGAACTAAGTTCTGAAGCATTTTGATTTCAGCACATGATTACAATTGGTGCAGATTAACGGTGTTAGAAAGGTGCAAGGTGCAAATAAGATATAATGCCTGAGAAGAACCTGGGCTTTTATTTGTCAATTTACTTAAACTACAAAGAAAATGGATTTTGACTACTGTCAGTGGAACAATGCAGTTTCTCTTTCATTGAAATATTTACAGATCAGTTTGGTGGAAGTGAAATATTTGGTACTAGATGAAGCAGATCGCATGCTTGATATGGGTTTTGGATTAGATATGAAGAAGCTGATTTCTTATCCAGACATGCCATCTAAAGACAGACGTCAAACATTAATGTTTAGTGCCACTTTTCCTGCAGAAGTTCAAAGGTGAGCTAAACAATGATGGAAGTGTATCTGAAGGTACGCCTATATGAATCTAGAAATCTGAAGGGTTAAGGATACTCATTTTTCTTAGTCTTACAAACTTGCTAGAATAGACTGAAAAGCTACACTGTTAATATTCCTTGCTAAACTTGCCTTTTTTTTTCTCAGTAGCAAATCTACACATATACATGTATAACTTAAGCAATTTGTCCTTCATCTGCATACTTTTCTCAGGAGATTCTTAGTGAGAATTCTGTAAAGTTTGAAAGCTCTTGAATTCCACGTTTGCAGAAGTCCTCACAGGGCCCTTGGTTTTTTTTTTTTGTTTGCCTGTGCTGCTCCACGCTTTTGAGCTTTAAAGCAGTGATCTTGCTCTTTATCAAGCAGCACTGGTGCTGTAGTCTTAGCACTTACTGTAGATGTAGACCTAGGTCTACTTACTGTAGTCTTAGGTGTTGAGGCATAATTTAAACAGACAGCTTAACTATTTTTCACCACCAGCCTTGCTCTTATAGCATTCTTCTTCACGAATATGAGTGCAGTTTTGGTTTCAGTAGTTCTGAAACTTCCACTACTGGGTTTTAGATGCATCTTACATCCCTGCCACTCAATACAGGTAATTTTATTTTCCAGCAAGAAACAAGTTTTAACAAATGGAAATGATGTTGCTGAACCTGGCAGTAACAGAACAAAGCATCCTGTTCCCTGTAGGCGGATGAATATTTTCCAGTATTTCCGCTTTTAAAGAGGCTGGCATCTAAACATCCTGTCTTAAATCAGAAGAGTATAAACTTCAGTTTGAACTGTTGGCATAATTGTGGTGGATTTTGTTAGTGATACTGTTGTGACATTTTGACTTCAAAAAAAAACCAACTAGTAAGCAAATTACAGTTTGATAGCATAGGAACAGATCGGTTCGTTGGGGTGATACATTGTTACCTCAGTGGGTCAGATCCTGAGGACTTTGCTGAAAAGTCAGAATAAGAAAGGATATTTTTTGTAAGTGAGGAGAAAAGTCTCTCTGGTAGTTGGGTGTTCTCACTATGAGGGGGATGGACTGTCTTCTACCACGTGATCAGTTAATGCAGCTTTTGGTGAGACGGCCTGCATTTTGTGAAGTAGGATTGAAGTCACTTCAAACAGTCTTATGTTGACTGGTGTAGCTTTGGTTCCTCAATCAAACCTCTTGTGGAGTTGTTTATATTGAAAGAAAGTCCTGTAGTGAACTAATACTGGCCTTGTTTCTGCAGCTGTAAATCAAACATTCAGGTAATATTGTTGATGAGCGTGGTTCACGTTCCTTCTGTGTTTACTGTTCAGGCATGAATGATCTCACTTTCCATTATATACTGGAAAAAGACTTCCATTTAAGGTCAGGAATATGTTATAATTGGCTAAGGTTTTGGGATTTAGAGAGAAACACTGATCTCTGGTTTTCTAGATTGCCTTTCAGTTTTAGGGCTAATGTCCTTGCTATGCATTTTTTATATGTATTGGAGAATTAGTTGAGAATACTGTAACTATCAGCATCACAAGGGAAATTGCCTTCAATTCAAAATATGTGAGATGTATACTGATTGCTTCCTCTTGATGGAAAAAGTTTACCTTGCTACTGTCAGTCTTATATGAATGTCCAAGTGCTATTAGAAGACTTGATATGAGTCCGCAAATCACAGTTCAGAAGTGTGTCATAATGTTCTTAAAGCCTTTTGAAATTAAAATGCCTAAAAGTAATATTCTCACTTTAGAGAAGTAGAAAGCTTTTTTTCTTTTTTTTGGGAGTTGATTTCTTTTTTCATATTCTGAAGTGAGAAAAGCTGATGATGTCAGAAAAGCTTGTTCTGTGTCAAAAAAGCACTTCTAATAGCATAGAACATGGTGCTTTCTTTGGCTTTGTTCATTTCAGGCTCTCCTGCACTTCTCTCCAGGCTTAGTTTAAACATACTGTTTTGTTCTTGAACTTGGGTCTTAGCTGTGACCTTTGATCTTACCTCTGCTGTGGTAGAAGAGTTGAGAGTCATGGTTTTCCTAGCTGACGTGAGAAGTTTTGCTCAGCGACTTTTGGGTTTATATCCTCCATTAAAGTGGAAGATGTCTTCTTTCCCTTCCAGGTTTTTATTTAATGGACATTTTTCAGAGACCTTGAACTTAGCATTTCCTTGCAATTTAGAACTGCTTCTCTGAGAATTCAATTACCTTTCAGATCATAAGATGAAACAGATGTTAATCTGTAATAACCTCTATATTTGCTATGAGAAACTGTATACCGCATTTAAACCACTTAAAATTAGGTGTGAGATTCAAGTCTTTAAGTCAGGCCTTCAACATCTTTAAAGCTTGACTTTTTTTAGGAGTCTAAAGTCGAATTGAGGCTGCCAGTTTCAGTTAAATGTTAACTTGTTTGTGATATGAATTCTTGTGTACATTGCTTACACTGGATATGAAGCGCGCTTATAGGTTAACACAATTTAGTAAAAATTCTCAACTACTATGGGGCGTTTGTTGGCAATACTGATTTTGCCAAATTTGATCTCTCAGGTAAAGATCTGAGACCAGAACAGAAGCTGAATTTCACCTATGGGGCCTCATAAATAAATGCAGTGGGATAAGCTATGTTTTTAAGCTTTTTTGTTGTTGTTGTTGTTGTTGTTGAACAGTCAAAAAAGAATTGTTTCTTCGATGACTAACTTTGAGTTCTGGGTTGTGTGGGATTCTCCCTTGTTCCTTTCAGATGGTGATGAAATAGTGCTCCATAAATGGTTCTGTGAGCATATGTCAGGAACATGTTTCAGGCATTTATGTAGAACAGTTTGAGTTGACTGAGAAATGCAGTATTTGTATTTTGAAAAGTTGTGGGCCTTGTGATCATTTTTTGTACGACTGTTTAGGAACAAATAAAATCTTCCCAGCCTTTTTTTGAAAGAAAAAGTGTGTGTAGCATTGCGTTCTCTGCCAGCTAAGAAATTATATATGTAACTGTTGTGATGGTTACTTGATCTTAAAGCAAAAATAAGCCATATGAATAGTATTAATAGTGTTTGTTTCTCTTCAAGGCTGGCTGGTGAATTTTTGAAAACTGACTATATATTTCTTGTTATTGGAAATACCTGTGGAGCCTGCAGTGATGTTCAGCAAAGCATTCTTCAGGTTCCCCGGTTATCCAAGAGGGATAAACTGATAGAAATTCTACAGAGCACAGGTAACTTTTCTTATAATTGTCTTCCAGCAGAGAGAGAATCGCTTACTTTTAAACTTATGCTCTTGCTGTTGATCAAACCATGACTGCATTCTGTTGCATACAAGACTGATTGAAGCTTGAAGCATTTCCCAGGGAGTCGTAGGTTTTAGAGAAGTTTGTGTTATGGGTACTTGTCAAAGTCTCACCTTTGAGTAATGGCAATTAAACTTCCTAGGTGGTTAGTTTCTTTGCATAGACAGTTACTAACTGCTTTAGCACTTGATGATATTCACCAGAGGGTTGGCTTATTAAATGTAAGCAAACCTTTGGGCCCGTATTTTTTTTTTTCCAGAGACTGGAATTTTTCTGATTATGCTCTGTTTCATATCTTCTAATGCTCAGAACTATAAATGAATTTGATGTGTATACCTTGCTTTTCAGAACTCAGAATGGTGTCCCATGCCTAGCTATATGCTCTAGGAAGAGGCAACACACTGGGACTTAACACAGAGCAAAATTCATCTTTCATCCCTTTTAATGAGGAGAAAAATATAATGTGTGACTATTGACCTGGGTTTCTGTTTTGATTTAGAAATTGAATTTGTTCAGAACAGGCAAAAGGAGTTGAAATCATGCCATAAAGACTTAATTTGAAACCAGTTCTTGGATTAGATGTTCTTAACTGCAGCTGTAAATAGTGGATTTGCATCAGATTTCAAACTCCAGTAGATCTGTATCCTTTTTAACTTAGGTGGTGAACGAACCATGGTGTTTGTGGACACAAAGAAAAAAGCAGATTACCTTGCAGCCTTTCTTTGTCAAGAGAATTTACCATCCACCAGCATTCATGGGTGAGTATTAAGTGAAAATTATTGAAGTGTTTATTAGATCAGTAGTAATAATCTCAAGAAACCTTTCTTGAAATTGGCTTTTATTGGTTTAATTTTCCTTATAATCCTCAGAAGCTCTATCTTGTTGAAAATGTAGCATTTCTGATGGTGAGTTGTATCACTTCGTTTGAGTATAGATCTTCATGATTGAGACATTTCAGATACTCTGTAAGAATGGGAAGTCTTACATGTGCTGCTAAACAAGGAAGTTCAGTAGAAGCTGCTGTTGTAACACAAATAACATAAACAAATAGACGTAGATATTGATATAAACATAGATATAAACAATAGAAAGACATGAGATTGTGTTTATGAATTGAAGTGGGAGTTGTGGATCTTCCTGTCTATATTATCAATTCCCCAAAGCAGTAAGTCAAGTTATTCACATAGAGTTTTCTGATGCTGTTGTTTCTGCCTCTTTGATGTGATCATGGACTTCCTAAACTGTACTTTTATAGAGATTGGTGTAAAAAGATTTTTCTCTTGCAGTCTGATCATTAGTGTTGTGTATCCTTTTGTTCTTTCTTCCCTGAACTTATTTCCTTTGCCTTAGCACCCTTCCTTCCCTGTTTACCTTTCTATGCTTAGCCTTGAGATCATTTCACCTTGAAGCAGACCGTAGATACACTTGTTGAAGTAGTCCTAATACATACTATTTTCTGAAAAAATGCAATTCCTCTGGAGTTTCAATTTAAAATAGATAAGTCTTATTGCTAATACATTACAAATTCTGAAAACCTAAATGGGGAGTGTGAGGGTGATTTTTTTTTTTTTTTTTTTCTTTAAGAACTGCTTCTGTCTGTGAACCTCTTAACTTGCATCTTATTACTGCAAATTTCAGAGATTTTCTAATTGTTTTCTTGACAGAGACAGGGAGCAGAGAGAGAGAGAGATAGCTCTTCACGATTTCCGTTCTGGAAAATGTCAAATTCTTGTGGCAACTTCGGTTGCAGCGAGAGGCCTGGACATTGAAAATGTTCAACATGTTATTAATTTTGATCTCCCCAACACCATTGAAGATTATGTACATCGAATTGGACGAACCGGTCGTTGTGGAAACACTGGCAAAGCTGTTTCATTCTTTGATGATCAGTCAGATGGCCATCTTGTACAATCTCTACTTAAAGTGCTTTCAGAAGTAGGTTTCAAATCTTAGTGCTGAACATTTCTTTTTCTAAGGTTCTAACATTAGTGTACTAAGCAGGAATTATAACTTTATTGTGGTTATGTAACTCTTAATATGAATTGGCAAAAGAGTCAAAGTTTATAAATTCCCTTTTCTAATTACGTAGGCTCATCAGGAAGTTCCAGTTTGGTTGGAGGAAATGGCTGTTGGAGGAACAAGTGTTGTCGCATCACTTGGTGCCCATAGGGTAAGTCTAGAAGTCTTTGCTACTGGAATTCTGTGTCATTATAAAAGTGTGGTCAGCAGCATATATCCAAAGTACATATTGCTGAAACTTCTGGACCTGAGTCCCTTATCTTAGCTGTGCATCTTAAAAATTCTTAATGTTTCTGAAACTCAATTTGGATAACTTGTCTAAAGTTTGTTTGCACTGTAGCCTTGCTAGATGCATTAGTCTTTATCTGCAGTATCAAAAATGACTCTGAAAGAATAGGTTTGTGCAAATATGCACAAAGGCTATAGTTCCAAAAAATTCTCTACCACTTATGTGTTTCACTGAATAGCTGATTTGGCTGACAACTTAAGATAATCGCAGCTACATAAGTGTCCTAATCTGATTCATGTCAAAATTTGTTATAGTGTTTGTGGTGAGGAATCTTCTGGTTTCTTAACATGGCTGTTACCAGATATGAAAATATAACCTGAGTAAATGAGACAGTCTAAGTAGCATAGCTGTCAAATCTGCTGTTCTGTGCATGCTTGAATTTTTTTGAAAATTGGTGTTTGATAATTCTTGCTAGTTCAATTACTTACTACTTTAATTTTGGCATTAACAAAATCTGTTCCTTGATCTGTTGTTTTCATGAGAAATTTTATTACATCTCAGTTGCATTCCAATTGTTGATACACTGTTAGAAACATCATGAGAAATAATTACTCATTCTGTGTTCATATGGTGTCTGAAGTTGGAGTTCAAGTTGAGATATTCCTTTCATGTTTCATATTTTTGCCTTCCGTAGCTGTGACAATGTGTTCCTTTGGGTGTATCCACATGCCTGTTTAATTCCTTAATCAGATCTGAATGATTTTTTTTTTTTTCCCTCTGGGTCTTCTTTGGGACACTGAAACATCTTACTACTTTCTCATGCTTGAAGCCTCAGTGTATATTTATATACACTGTATATTTATATTTATATATGTATATTTGTGTGTAATATGCAAATTAACAATATTAATATGTAATATGTATATGTAATTGCATTCAAGCACACTTAATTTGTTTAGATTGCTTCCATAGACAAAACTCATCAGTTTCTCTAATTGGCTTCTGAATACACATCAACCTTTGTGGATTGTCCCAGTACTTCACGAAACTTCTGATTTCTAGGTCTGAATCAGTCTTTCATGTCCCTTGCAATATCTGAATTACAAAATCTGAAATTTTTATTCCCTCCACTCATGAATAGTGAAGTTTCAGAGGGAAGATGTTTGCTGTTTGTTATGGTTTGAGGATGCTGCCCTATTAATCATATGTATGCAGTTCATGAACTCTGGAGTTGGAGATCTTCAAATTCTAATGCCTGCTTTATGAGCCCTCCTGAAAACAGTGATTCCAAGAAACAGCACATTCCTATCAGCATTTTTTCTTTGAAATAAACTAGTAATCCTGTTTTTTTTTCCCATTGCTTTACTAGTCATGACAAAGACCGATATCTGTTATTTTGTTATGGTGCTGATATAACTGTGTCATTTGGAGGAGGCTTTAGTAGGAACTCAGGCATTGCTAAGGACATGCTGATGTTCTTTATCCTGGGGAATAAGGAGAACATCTTCATTTGTATTCACTTTCTCTTTGAAATGGAATGCGTGAAAAGGCCATTTGATAATAAAGTGACTATTTGGAACTGCAGTCTGGAGGTTTTTATCTGGCAGTTTTTGAACAGTCTCGTAGCTGACTAGGCTTTTCCAATGGAAGAGGACTTTATTGGGAAGAGAGTGCAGACAGTCATTGTTAAGAAAGAGGAGAAGGTTTTTTCTTGACATTATATGAACCAATTTGTGTGGGGTAGGGGAAAAAAAGCTGAGATTTGAATTTTGGGAAAGATTGCTCGCATATCTGATAAAAACTGAGGTTGATGAAAGCATGCTATTTTAGACTGGAGTCTGAAAAGCAGTAATGGAAAGCTCCTTCCTTGTTTTAAAAGTTAGTGTTCAGATAGTATTGAGGGTTATGAATGCCAGTTGTTTTTTAGCAGCTTTTATTGTTAAAAGCTTGATACTGTTAATGATTCTAAACTAGTACCCATTTTCTTTCCTAGAACACTGCAGGCAGCAGCAGAATGAACCCAGGAGAAATGAGGATGTCATATTCTCAAAGAACATTTAAGTCATGGGAGTAATGCAGATTTAGTAGTAAACTCTGTTGTATTCTGTTTTGGTTTAAGTTAACTGTTGCAGTTAATGTTTACTTACTGTTAAGCTTTATGAAATGCTTTGTGTTTACAAGCTACCTTGTATCTCATGATGAAGCTTTCAACAATGAAAAAGAAACCTATTGTTGATTCTCACTCAATTTAGGAAGGCAAAAGCCTTTTTCAGGAAAAAAAGAAGCCTGATACTAAGTGTTAAATGTTTCATTCAGTAGGTGTTTGCTGACGCTTGTATGTTGCTATAAATAATGTGTTGCTATAAATGAGTTGTCATCCCTGTTTTGCTTGCAAGTGGAAAATGGCATGTCACTGGAACTTAATACTTTGTTATTAAAATTCATTTAAAATGCAGCTTGGAAGCAGTGTATGTATTTAATGTCCTGGACAGTGGGACTCCTTTTCTTGACAATTCTTGAGGATTTGTGTATCCATTACAACTTTCAGTCCAGAAATTTGGGCTTTGTTGATTTGCTAGCAGCAGGAAATACATGGGTAGTAGTTTCTGGAAGAAGATGTACACTTGTACAACCAAAGTAACAGCAGTCATGAGTCATAGGTATCTTAGGTAAGCCTTCGAAGGAGGCTGACTTAGGCTTGTTTCAAGGATCACTTTGATCACAGGTGGTTTTTGCTTCACCTCCTATCTTGTACCTGTTTGGTTGGGGTATATCAGGATGAGTTGTGTAACTGACTAAAGAGGTATTCTGGATCTGTTGTAGGCTTGCATTTGATTTGCAGCTTGTAAAATAATCATTAGCATAGTTTTTGTACATTTTGTACATTTATTACATTTAATACCGTTCACAAATAAAGCATCTCAAACTGTTTCTACTAGATATGTGTAAACACAGTATGTCTTTGAAGTGAAGAGTGAAGCAAAGAAGGCCTTCTCAGCATCCCCCACTTCCAGGACTCCTCCCCCATTCAGCAGGGGACCCACGTTATCCCTAGTCTTCCTTTTACCATTAACATACTTGGAAAAAAAAATGTTGTTGTTATCCTGTATCTCCTTTGCCAGCTTCAATTCCAGGTGAGCTTTAGCCTTCCTCGTTGCACCTCTGCAGGCCCTGACAACACTCCTATGTTGCTCCCAAGAGGATAGGCCCTTTTTCCCCATTCCATAGACCACTTTCTTCCCTTTGATCTTATCCATGAGCTCTTTGCTCATCCATGCAGGTCTCCTGCCTCCCTTCCCCAAGTTCTTGCTCTTAGTGATGCACTAATCTTGAGCTAGGAAGAAGTGCTGTTTAAATGTTGCCCAGCTCTCTCGGGCCTCCTTAACTTCACACACTCTCGCCATGAGACACCTCCAAACAGTCCTTGGAAAAGGTCGAAGTTGGCTCTCCCAAAGTCCAGAGCAGCAAGGGAGCTGGGCTTGTTCAGCCTGCAGAAGAGAAGGCTGCAGGGTGACTTCATTGCAGCCTTCCACTACCTAAAAGGAGCCTACAAGCAGGAGGAGAGTCAACTCTTTGAAAGGGTTGGTAACTGCAGGACAAGGGGAAATGGTTTTAAGTTGGAAGAGGGAAGATTTAGGTTGGATGTCAGGGGGAAGATCTTCACAGAGAGTGGTGAGGTGCTGGAACAGGCTGCCCAGAGACGTTGTGGATGCCCCATCCCTGGAGGTGTTCAAGGGCAGGTTGAATGTGGGGCTCTGGGCAGCTTGGTCTAGTATATTAGGTGGCCCTGTCTGCAGCAGAGGGGTTGGAGCTCTATGGATCCTTGAAATCCCTGCAACTGAAGCCATTCTGTGGTTCTTCCACTCAAGAGTTCGGAATCCACCATCTCATGATCACTGCATCCTGAACTGTCCCCAGTCTTCACATTGCTAGCAAGCCCATCCCTTTTGGTAAGAGCAAGGTTCAGAAGCATCCCCATCCTCATTGGCATCTCCACCACCCACATCAAAAAATAATCTTCAATGCATTGCAAGAACCATCTGCACTGTGTGTGCCTGGCTTACTTACCAGATAGCTGGATGATTAAAGTCCCGCATAAGAACCAGTGCATGGGATTGTGAGGCTACTTCTAGCTGCTTGTAGAAAGCCTCACTGACTTCATCCTCCTGATCTGGTGACTTCTGGTACCCCCTTATAACGATATCAGCCATACCAGTCTTCCCATTAATTCTCACCCACAGATTCTCTGCACATACCTCACCCACCCTCAGGTGGAGCTCAGTACATTCTTGTCGAGCTCAAAAAAGAAGCAACTCCTCCACCTCCCTTCCCCAGCTTATTTTTCCTAAAAAGAACATAGTGCTCTATGATTGCATTCCAGTCATGCAAGCTGTCCCACTGTCTCTCAGTAACTGCAGTGAGATTATCACCCTGTTCCTGTACACAGATCCTCAGCTCATCCTGTTTATTTCCCATGCTAAATGCAAATGGCACTTAAGAGAAGCAGCAGGTACAGTTACCCCTATGGGGACAGAAGATTTTGGACAGGGTATTGGCAACATGACCTTCTCTGAAGATCCCTCGCATGGTCCTGTGGGACAACTCAGAAGTTTTTCCCTGAGATCTCCAACAGTGACAACATCCCCCGGCCCTTCTCACATCTAACTCCCCTCCCTTCCTCCTTCAAAACTAGTTTAAAGCCCTGGTAATCAATTCAGAAAGCTTGTTTCCCAGCTCACTTGTGCACCACTTGCTCAGTCAGAGTCCATCAGAAGCCCACACACCCGATTTCTTGAAGATCTGCCCAAGATCAAAATACCCAAAACCTTGATCAAGACACCACCTCCTCAGTCAGTCATTTACCTTACATGTTCTCCTCCTTTCTGAGTCCCAGCCACCCATTAGGAGGACTGAGGAGAACACTACCTCCACTCCTGATCCCTTCAACATCTTTCCAAGGAATGCAAAGTTCCTTTTAGCATTCTTTAGTTTCCCCGTTGCAGCATCCCGGGAGCCAACCTGACTGCCAATAAAAGGATAGTAGTCTTTGGTTTAATGAGCTGTGGTAGAGCCTTCCTAATGTCTCTAACATGTGCCCCTAGAAGACAGCACATCTCTCTGGAGAGCTTATTTGGGTGGCAAATGAGGGCCTCAGTGCCCCCCAGTGAAAAGTCCCCAATTACGAAGACTCTCCGCCCTTCTTTGGTCACGCTGGTATTGATGCAGTGTCCTGACGAGCCCCGCTCCCTTTGCTTGTTGCTCCCCGCAGTCCCAATGTGCTTCTCGGGGCCTGGGTTCTGACTGCTTTCCAGACCCTCATTCCTGCCTGCCTGAGAGCCCTGAATCTGTTACTCAGGGACTCTGCTGGGGTTGGTGGCACTGTGGGTGCTGGGGACAGACGCCTCTTTCCGTTTCAAGCAGAGAGGTCCAGACCCTTTACTCTTGTGGGTTGTTCAGCCCTCTGTCCTGCAGGTGAGCAGCTGGATTGGCTCCTTCCATTTGCAGGGTCCACGCTAAAATGGCAATTACAATGCCATTAAAATGCTCATGCTTTTCATATATTTCATATTCTTTAATGTGGATAAGAATATTTCATATTCTTTAATTCTTTTGTTGGTTTTTCTTTTTTTTTTCTTTTTTTTTTTTTCTTTTTTTTTTTTACCTATGCTTTCTACAACTGTAATATCTTTTTCTGCACTAAGGGAGTAAGACTGGCATTTTCTTTCGTTTAAGTAGTATCTGAAGGTGGTTGGAGATGTTACAAGGAATTATTTTTTTGCTTGTTTGGCAGAGTATTTCTTCCTGCTGCTTTGCTTAAAATCAAAATTCTGTTCAGTGTAAGGGTTTGCATTTTTTTCATTGCTGTAATGTTTTTGAACTGAGGTCAGATTAGTCAATGCAGTTCTGAAGTTGAAGACATGACTATTGTTTATAGATCTTGCTGCTGTGTGGGTTCTGTGAATGAATCACAGCAATTTACTGATGTGGAGTGATATTTTCAGTGCTCAGTGGTTCCTTAGAGAAAGGAAGCTAGCTAAGGCTTCAAAGACTTTAATATACTTATTTCTGTATAATGAACTGTTGTGGGTCCCCAAATTTGGGAAAGGTTTGCTTAGGCTAAATCGTTCTAGAGACAAGTATTTTCAGCTCTTTGGTTACGAGTTAATACTCAAACTGCTTGCTTTTCCCTCATTTCACTCATTTAAATAGCATGTGTACTATTAGTTGTCAATGCTTTTATCTGTAGACAGTTGTCCACCAGATGGCAGTCAAGATGAGTGCTTTAAATATTTTATTAAACAAATTGAAAACTGGGAACAGTATAGCTATGATATTCTTAGGTGCTTCTAATTTTTTTGGTTAGTTTTTAACTTGAAGTCCTTGTCCTATCATTACCTCCATATTTGTACCAAAAATGCTCCTTGTATTTCAAAGTAGTTCAAGACTAATCTGAAGGGTCATGACAAGACAGTATAGCAAAATGCCATCAAGCATATACTTCATACTTTGAATCTTGCTTATTCCAATTTCTGTCAAATTGCATATTATTAATGCACTACTTGAACATTCTTCCTTGTGAGATGAGCTCTCAGAGAATGAAAGGACTGGAAGAATAAGACCTGTACATGTGACTTGTGGTATGTGTTTGTGGTGGATCCTGATCAGATCAGCAGTTCCAGATGTGCAGAAGAGCTAGTGGTGTCAGGGGCTTTTTTGGTACATCTGAAAAATGAAGGTAAAGCAGCCATAGAGAGAACTTCACACAAGTGCTAGCTTTGATCAACAAGACTCAATTTTTGCCTTTTCTGAAACAAGTTCTGGCTCTATGCCTGGGATAAATAGCAATCCCTATAGACAATCTCTCTTTAGCAGGTGAAGTGATTGAGTATCCTGTGAACCAGTCTGTCAGTTTCTAGAATGGTTGTGACTGAGACATCTGCTCTGATCCCTTAAATACAGAAAAGATGATGGTACGTAACTGTTGTTTCTAGTTGGTCTGTGATGATTGGTCTAATGATGTGGTTCTCCAAACACACGACCCAAATAATCACATTCTTTGTTTTTCACTTTTTT